AAAACCATGGATCAGCGTTTGTCAGTTGACAAATTGTTATACTAAGAAAATTACCTTTCCACGTCTATAGAAGTAATAGGTGTGTATTTAAAAAAAAATGTCCTTTAGTGATAAATCTACGCTGGTGTAAGTTGATTTACTTTCACCATTTAACATTTTTAATATACGTATTTTAGCTATTGTGTCGCATTCTTCCTTTTTTGATAATACATTTCTAATTTGTTCGTAAATAAATTGACTCCTTAAAAATAAAATAAAAATAAAAATAAATCTTAAAATAAAAAAATCATAGAATTTTTTTGCACATTTATGGATAGTATTGTTTTATGTGTGCTGCACGCACGAATAAGACTGTTTAGGTTATAAGCATACGTAAAATTTAATTCTTCATCGTTCCCTAAAAAGTAAAATGTGGTTCAATTGCCGATTCATATATGTGGTTGGTGGAGAAAAAAACAGATCCGTAAAACACGTAAATTGCAATTTGTCATATAAATGTATACACAAATCTGTCACAATAGTTATTAGACATTTATGCACAACTAATGATAATTATCTCTTTCCTTAGCGTTCTACAAATGCTCAATACGATAATGAATATGCAGGATCGCATTTAGGGAGGGAGCACTGGCTACAACTGCCCCGGGTGCCAGTTTTTTGGGAGCGCCAAAATTTTGTGGTCAGAAATTTGCTCACTTGTAAATTATTGAACTTTTAAAATTATTTTTTTTGTTTTTAATAACAGTATCATAAATTAATGTTGATGTATTTAATTTATTAATATATATTATTAATGTATTTATAGCAATATAGTTATATAAATATCAGCAATCCAGAATATTATTAATATACATAATATAAGTTCCAAAATTTTTTGTGATGTCAATAAACAAAATTTATAATAATACGGCGTATTATGTTATCACGTGCAGCGTGCGGTGGCGTGCCTATTATACAAAAATAGCATTGATTTTAGAATATCTAAAAGGTTCATGAGAATCTATCTCCTATATTTTCCGTGGGTAGGCCTTTTAGAGGGGCGCCATTTTTTTTATTTTGCGCCGAGGCGCAAAATATCTAAATACGGCACTGACCCCCACTTCCATATGATTATAATTTTTGATAATAGTTATTTTTTATTGATCAAATTTCACATTATAATTAGGTAACTACTAATATGTTATTTTTTAAGCTGAAAATATATTTTGTTTGGTATAACTCTGAAAACTATTAACAAGTTATCTATTTTAATGTGGGATATATAATTTAAAATATAATAGATATATTTAAATCCTCATCAACTGTCTTCTTGAAGAACACCTTCATAATAGTCGTATTTATTAGTATTTATTTGGTACACACTTCTCAAATCCGTAATGCACATTTCCAATTTTGAACTAAACACTTTGTGTCAGGATTCAATCAAAAATAAGGGCTACTTAACATATATAGGATTAATCTATTAATATATATATATATATATATATACATAATACGTATAATATTCAATGTTTGAAAATGTTGACAATTTATTACTATTATTATTCATACTACACAATATATAAGCATTTAAAACCGGGCAGATTTCGAAAAAAACAATTTTAACTGAAATAAAAATTCAACGAGTTTGATTATAATCATGCTCAAAGCTACAAAGTATGAGAAACAAAGAAAAACGCGGATTAATCCCAGGACTGAACGACGATCACTTTATTTAAGTTGTTAAATATCATTTATATAATTTTTATTATTTTTTTTTTTTAACTTATATAATATTTATTTAAAAATTAGTGAAAAAGAACATTGGCATCTAGGTACATTTATTATTATTACCTTTATGTAATATTTATTATAACTATCTATAATAATATATATACTAATACAAAATAAATTTTTTTAAGTATTTAAAAAAATATGAGTAAAACTTACACAGTATAATTGTATCACATTACAGAAATCGTAATTTTTCATGTAGTTTTATTGACATACTAAATCGTGATATTAAAATATAATCAGATCATTGATTTAGTTTAGGCTTATTGTGTGTTCACTTTATAACAGTAGTACAATACTAATAATTATACTATTATGAACATACGAGAGTATAATAAAGCGTTGGTACCAGTGGCGTAATTGTGGGGGAGCAAGTGCCCCCGTGACAATTTTTTGAGAGATAATGGTATAATATTGCCCCCCTAGATTTTTTCCCAGTTACCCAACATGGTACATTATAAAATAATAAATAATAATGAAGTTTATTGTTTGATTTTATTATCAATCAAATTAAAAATACTACGCAAAATTAATTTAGAATAACGGATACGGCACGTGACGTATGGCGTTAAGATAACCATGTATAGCAAACACACTAATGTACATTTATACTGGTTTTATACACATTGACATAACCCGAATGTACCCGCTACATAATTTGCCTAATCCTTACTCCTTAGAAAATGACCAACTAGAACCCCTTAACATGTAATGTTTGTTTTGTAATATACACCTACACCTCAACGTCATTAAAGTTATCTACACAATGCGCCGACTTACATATTTGTAAGTTATTGTATAATACAAGTAAATACTTAATTAAAAAAAAAATTAAGATTAATTTATTAATTGAATTGTTAAAAATTAAAATACTCAATTTTTCAACAAAATAAGAAAAAGAAATTCATAAATATTTGTAAAATGCACAATATGTAAATTTCACAAAACTGATTAAAATTATAATACAAATTCGAAAAACAACAAAAAAAAACACTACTAATCTTCTAGTAGAGTTCAAAGGATAAATTTGGTGAATCACATAAATAGAATGCTTTTCTTAATTGTAATTAATTAAGACCCTGAGCTATGGTAATTTTTGTTGATATCATAATCCAGCAAATTAAACAAAACATTCTGTGTGTTCCTACATTCATCACCTTATCCATCGACTTATTCAGCAGATTGATTGGAATTTAGGAACACCTTTTTGGGATATTGCGTTGTAACAAGTTGGTGTATACGTTTGATCGCCATCAACTGCTATAATGTTATCATAATATCAATTATCAATTATATTCAAACAAGATTTTCGATTGAGTATAATTTTTTTAATACTTTTAAGTTACATTACAATTTCTAACAAGTTATTTAAAACAATTAAATTAATAATTTTGAACAATTATATTGAAAATAAGCTTACCATTCCGGTATTTCAACAACAACTTTTTGGTTTTCTTTGAATCTTCAAATTACAATTAATATTAACCATTTTAAACATACAAAATACAATTACAATCTTTTATTTATAGTTTTGTTATATTTTTGCATAATGTTTTTTCATCAATATCTAATTAAATTCATAAAATAAAAATTAAAATATGGCAATTAATAATTACATATCTTAATAATTGTTAAATGTAAATTAAAATTAATAATATTTATAACTAAATAGAGCCTTCAAAAAAGCAGTACTATCCCACTGTATAATCTTGTGATAAATGTTTACTTGAGAACTATAAAACTTTTTTTTTAACGCTATTAGTTTAAAAAATCTTAGAAATAAGTACACACCAATTTTATAAAAATAAAATAGTTTTACTTAGTACTTACCGTCGTCAAACGATAACACATTGTGTTTATATCAAAAAGATTTGTATAAAAATTTTCTTCATGTGTCAAGTTTAATTGGATATAATCATTCATTTCTTGTGATTTCAAGTTTCTAAAGTTGACGACAAAACTTATAAGTACCTACGGATGATAATTGACAGATTCAATAACAATAATTTTGGCGGGAATAATTTTTATCAAATCCAGCGCGTTTCATTTCAGTCAATCCGTAAAATAGCAGATTGCTAATAAGTCAATCTGCTTGATTACCTCCCCTCCAACGGATTGGCCATCTGCTGTAATTAGGAATGTCAAAACCAGCGGCTGACCAATCTGACGAATTTAGTAACACACTAATTATACAGGATCTAGTAAGATTGTGTCACTTAAAACTTTTCTAATCTGTTATTTGTTAATTTAAGTGATATCAATTATATTAGAAATATACTTAAGTTAAAATAAGTGAAAGTAGAAAAAAATAGCAAAGAACACTTAAATTAATAAATGATACAATAAATAATTTAAATAATTATGTATTTTTTTTCAGTTATACTAAAAATTAAAAAAAAAAATTAATTTTATTCAATATAAGTTTTATATATCAATTTGTACATAGTAATTAATGTGTTTATTTATATAAATATTAATGAAAATATACAATATTCTAAGTAATGTATAACATATTAAATTCAAGCATAATAATGAAACCAAATTTAATAAAATTAACTTGCTTAATAATTTTTTTATTTTGTATCAAGTTAATGTCAAAAATCAGAATTTTAAATATTACATAAATTTATTAAATAGTTAATGCAATTAAATAATTTGAGTCAATAAAGAACATCTTTTTGATATAACATTCCCAAATACTATGTTAACAATTTTTTTTTTTTACATTACCATAATGCTAATGAGCAATATTAAAAACACCAATATAATTTCATAACAATAAATTGAACAAGATCTATTAAAATATAAATTAAAAAATCAAAAGGACTATTGTATTTTAATGTTATATTTTTCAATCTCACTTATCAATTACTTCTTAATTCGACATAAATATAACTTTAGCTTAGAACTATTCATAATTGCAAAGGTACTATTCAATAAATCAATCTTATTTTAAAAAGCCAATATTTAAAAACTAATAAAATCAATTTTCCTTTTTTTTTTCAATATTTACTGATTAATCAATATATACTTATTGGAATCCGTATACATTCATACTATTTGTATTTTTAAAACAATAAATATTTATACATATAAATTATGTAACATAAAATATTTTAAAAGCTAAATATACACTAATTAGACTCTAAAAAATATTTCATAAATTAATAAAAAAAACTTTAAACAATTAATTTTATAAACAAAAGAGATCAAAAATAATATATCAAATTACAGACAAACATTTCTGAAGGTTTCTTCTGAAATTTCAGTTATATAATTAATTATCAATTTTATAAAAAACAAATAACGTTTCTTTAATATAAATTTGAATCTTAACCCCTCCCATCTCTCTCTGAAAAAGTATCAGTATACACTCTTGCCAAACTAATTGTTTCCATACTTAGAAAATTTTGATTACATACGTAAATAAACATTTATTTAATATGAACTAATAATCAATTAATTGAGCACAAGCAATTCTAATAATTATAATTACTATAATTATTAATTATTATAATATTCAGTAAAAAATAAAATATATAAGAAAGGGTGAACATTAAATGTGTACAACATTAATTTCAGGTTTTTTTAACATATTATCATCATCAATATTCATGTATAAACATGAAGCAGCAGCTTTGGAGTGTGATGGTTGACATTTCCCTGGAACAGTCAAAGTATCCAATTCATGCGCAATTGATTGATTTACAACAGCAGTGCTTATACATGATACAGTTGATTCTGATGCAACGTTAGAAAATGGAGAAGCATGTCTTGCACGGTGTTTGTGTCGTTCATTCACATTAATGTTTTTTAATTTTCTACAACACCGATAGGGATACGGACCATGATCATAATCTGAACCAAATACTGACAATAATGATACTAGGAAAAATGTTGAATAGAACCAACTTATAAACATTATGATTATCAGAAATATGCCAAGTTGAGCATATGGTAAAACATCTGAAGGCAACATGAAAGCTCCACTAGCGCCTGTTGTTATAGCACCCATCAATGATGGACAAGCCATTAAGGACAACGCCTTAGATATAGCTGTGGCTCTTGGTGAATCTTCACAAGCTAGCTGATATTCAATTGTATAATGTAGACTGAAATCAACGGATAAACCAATAGCTACAGAAGTAGCAATGGATTCTAAGACATTAAGATGCCAACCCATCAGAACTAACACGGCAATAGTAGTACAAATTATAAAAAATATAGACATCACAGTGATAACAGTTAATGAAATACTTGTTGTAACAAAGAACATGATAACAAAAGCAAGAAAAAGTGCAATAAATGCAGACATAACAGTGTCCTCAATTAATGTTTTTTGTAGGTCATAAAATCCAAGATGACTATAAAACCAGCCATTTCTAAGACCAGGTGGAGCAGTTTCCATCATTTTAGATGACCAAGACTCAACCTAAAATTAAATTAAATAAAAAGTGAGATATTTTAATGTTAACACAGGATAGAAGTAATTGATAAAAAGAAAATTACTTGTTTGTAAAAGTTCTCCATTTCGACATAAGATGTAGTAAAAGCAAAATTACTTTCAAACTCCACAACAACAGCTTTTATTATTGGTATAAGTGTTTCATTTTCTGAATGAAATAATGGATTTGAAAATTTAGGTCCAGCTGCAGAAGGAACAAATATGGAGCTTGGAGTATTGTAAACAATATACATAGCTTTTACAATACAGAAGTGAAATACATTTCTTGGATATGGAAACTCAATGGTGTTACAACATGGCCAGCGATTTTGATCAACACTATTTACACATGTCTGACTCATCCATTCAACAAAAGTTTCCATAAAACAATTTGTCAAGTGTAATCCTCCAACAGCTCGATAAAAGGGTTGCATACGTAAATGCACACAAAATTGCAATAACCAACTTTGAGACTTGGGATGTGCCATATCAAAATTTGGATCATATACAAGACTTCCGTGATCTTCTGGATCCAAATAATTACCAGTATCATTGGGATATAAGCCCCAAACAAATCGTAATGGAACACGGTTTTCTGGATTGTTGTCAATCTATACAATTTAAATTTAACTGTATTATATTTAATCATGTATTTAATTGTATACTTACTCTTAAAATTCTTTCAAACCAAAATTGATTTTTATACACTAGATCATATTGTTCAAAAGGATGGGACTCTCGAAACAACTGAAATTCCACAGATTCTGGTAACTTCATACCTGGCCATATCCATATTATAGAAGCACTTAAAATACCCAAGATGAAAAAAAATACTATCCACACCCAACGAAAGCGAAAAACAATTTTCAATAACCATGCATTAAATGAAGTCTGAATTCCACGTAGCACTTGTTCTATTGAACGTATTTTATTAACTGACCCGATATCAAATAATACAGTATTGGGCCTATGCTTTGCACTTAAAAGCACAATACATGATGGTAAAAGACTTACGGTTATTAATAAATTTACAAAAACAGCCATGGCTGAAAATATACTAAAAAAAAAAAAATGTATTTAATTTTTTTTTAACTAGATATTTTTTTAATGAACATACCTAAAACAACTTATTCCATTAATAGCACTGAGAAATGATGATGCAAAAGCACAAAATGTTGTTGTTGTGGACAATGATATGGAAAGCAGCGAATGTCTTAACGTCTTAGAAATCACATTAACTAATGAATCAGCCTGATCATTGATCTTGATAACTTTCCATACATCACACATGATGAATGAAGAATCTGCACTAACTCCAATGAGCACAATGATAGCAAGGACATTCATAAATGGGAAAAAATGTATACGGAAAACAAAAGTATAAATAAAGTAGGAAACTGATAAAGAAAATAAAATATTTAAAAAAGTAACAATGGTAATTATAAGTGACCATGTGTAGAATAATACACACAACATAATGAAAAAGGTACTCAAAAAAATTAAATATATGTCTCTCACAAGCTCAATATCGAATAATTTTTCTTTAATACCTATAATATAAAACCAAAATAAAAGGACAATTAATATAAAACTTCCACATTGTTTACTGAAAATTATTTCTAAATGCTTCTTACCAAAATCAATTGCTGAAATACTTATTAATGGTGTTGATAAATTAGCATCTTTCATGGCTTTGTAAACATGAACAATAGATCCTTTTCCAAATGGTAAAAACATCATTGAACTTGTTAAAACATTAGTAGAAGCCTATGCAATTTCAAATAATATTTATGTATTTTCTTTACTAATTATAAAAAAAATACTTTCAATAATTACATGTGGTGGCATGAAGTTCACATCTAAATGATAGTGCATCAAATTATAAACTGCATTAAATTGATTACATTGACGTGGTATGGTTCGAATACCAGTTTTCCATTCTAACAACTCATTATCGTGATAATAATGAGCACACCCTTCAAGTATCACCATAGTAGCATTAATATCCCTAGGCTAAAAAAAAAAAGAATAAATAAGAGTAAATGAAACAATTATACGGATATTTTATTTACTGTAATTTCTGAACATGATTTATGTTTTCTTAACAATGTGATGTAATTGACTAAAGACCATGGTGGACAACATGCATGATCTTGTACATCACAAACATCTTTATATGCCACCAAGTTTTCTAAGCGTTCTTGTATAAGACACATATCCTTGACCGCTTGGTATGTAAGAAGATTTTCGCCTTCATTGAGAGTAAACACAACTCTTGCATGATCATATGCTACAAAATTATAACATTTGAAAAATTTCAAACATAGAAATTAATTGTGTAGTAAAAAATTTAAAATTGAAAAAAATTAATGTTTAAAAAAAAAAACTAAAAATTAATGTAAGCAATATATTTCATTTCTATCTGGGACAATTATTAATCTAAAATAGTTTAATGTGCTTACTAAAATATTTAAAATACATTGTTCTAAAGCAAATTATAGTTATGTCCAATAAGTGGTTAAGAGTTCAACAAAGCATAATTAGCAATATAGAATATTGATGATTTAAAAATTAAACCCCTTATACCAATTTAAAAAAAAATATAGTCTCACTACTATTTTGTCAAATATTTTCTTACGAAGAAGTTAAAATTATTTGGCTACATGGAAAAATCTTCAAACATTATGAACAATGGTAAACCCTTATAAATGATAATTAAATATATTCAAATTATAGTAATTACATGGAATAATTATTAATATGTTTGACAAATTAAATAATATTATTTTAATATAGTTGACCATGGCCAGAAAAATTAATGAGTCTTTTTATAAAGCAATTAAGTTATATTATTGTCCTAGTAGATAACTTTACAACAATAATGAATAAAGTCTAACAAATCTCTTACATCTATTGTTATACAACTAAACAATTATTGGTATACTTATTGTACACTTATTAACATAATGAATCATAATTGGTTGAATCATGCATTTATAATGATCAATTTTATAAAAGCTATATAACATAAACACCATTTTTTCTTCATATCTTTATACACAATATAAACTAATCACTATTCATAATTTCTATTTTAAATATAATTTAATGTAATAAAGCTATCGTGTATAGAATATCAAATTAGTTATGGAGTAAATGTACAAATGAAGTTTAAAAAATTGAAAAATACAATTAAACCTTAGTTATAAAGGCAATATTTCAATAGTAGAAAAATACATAAAAAAACATCAAAGTTTGCCTATCACATTTTAAGTTCATTATATTTACTTTTATGTGCACTTTCATACAAATAATAAACATCAATGCACTATACAAATTGGATAAAAAAATATTAGTTTTCAATAAAATTGTATTTTTGTAAAATATAACCTAAGATACAATAAAATATGAAAACATATTTACCTATAAGACATTTTTTTAGTTATATTAATATAACATAATAAGCATTTATAATCTTATCTATGTTGGAAGAAAATTTAGAAAAAACCGTGGTAATTAGATTTATAACTAATAAAAGATTAAACTATTGTTTGAATTCAAATAATTTACTTGTTAAATACAAATGAAAAGTATTAAAAAAATAATAAGCATAACAAGAAAACACAAATTGTAAATTACTTTTTTTAATTAAAAAATATGTGAAAAAAATATATAAAACTGTTGATTAATAAATTAATAAAGATTTATTTAAGGCATAAGGAAAATAGACTAAAAATAAATTGAAAATAGTATTTATATATTAGATCAGACCACTGATATCGATTTCAACAAACATAGAATTCAGTTTATTATACTGGTAACACAATTTGTTAATATTCATTTTGTAAAAATAGTATATTATTATTAATAGTACTACACACAAATTGTCTAATCATTCTGTCCAGTCATCAAATACATGTAAAATTAGTTTTACATAATTAAAACAATTTGATGACATAAATATACATTTTCAAAATAATTAAATATTATACTTAACCAGACAAAATTGTTTGGATCGATAAATGCATATTATTACTGTCAAATGGTGTTTTATTTTTATTTTATTAAGAGAAATCTAAACCAAAATTATGAAAAAGAGAAAAATATATATCTGGAATCTTAAAATTATAAATATGTCTATATTTTACTCTATGTAGGTGAAAATATTATATTATATTCTAATAACTATATATATATATATATATACTGCATTATAATAAATTATGCAATTCAAGTAAATTAAATTATTACATACTTGGTTTGGAACAAAAAAAATCTAATCTACTCTTCCTTCTTTTATTATCATTCCTCAATGTCATCATTTCAGTTTCTTCAAATATTTCATCATCTATTACTGAACTATGTTGTAATTTCTTTATATCTTCATTTGATGTTTTCAAGTTATGATTTAAATTTTTCTAAAAATAAAATAATAAATATTTATAATTATAAAACAAATGTATCACTTCTTTTATGTTTATAAAAATTTAAAGTTTGTAAAAACACATAAAATACACATAAAACTATACTCACTACTTACTTTCGTCTAAACTGATCACCCAAAAATAATCATTAAAGTAAATGTAATAAGCATAAATAACCCATTTTATAAGTATATATACATTTTAGAAACAATAAGCCAAACTACTATCTATAAGAGTATAGAAACAAGTATGGCATAAAAATTAAAAACATTAATGTTGATAATAGTCATATTATATAAAGTATAGAAAGCCAAACAAAAATTTCAAAATATAGTTCAAAATATATTTTTTTTTATAACTATAATCTCTTTTTAGATGTTTAAGACATGCAGCAGCATATTGTATTAATAATATAAATGTAGTTAAATAATTATATAGTGAGGCAATAGTGGGGCAGTCAATAAAAAATATGAATTTAGACAAAACATATGGCAAGTGTTTGTCAATTTCAAAAAAGCGTACGATAGCATACACCATGATAGTCTTTACAATATTATGCAAGAGTTTGGTTTCCCGAGAAAACTCATCACTCTAACAAAATTGTGCATGAATGACACGAAATACCAAGTGAGAGTGGACCAAATGCTGTCCAAGGCGTTTGAAGTCATAACTGGCTTGAAACAAGAGGATACGCTCACACCACTATTATTTAATATATCATTAGAAAAATAATGCGTAATGTAAAAAATAACAACTTGGAAACCAATATTGGCGCCATACAAATTAATATACTAGGATTTGCTGACAATTTAAACCTAATTGGAGATAGTATGGAAATATATGAGCAGAATACAAACACACTCATAGAAGGTGCTAAATCAGTCGGGTTAAAAATAAATCAAGATAAAACAAAAGTAATGGAATTACTTCTCAATGGGGAAGAAAACGTGGTTATTAATGACTATACCTTTGAGAAAGTTAAAGAGTTTAAGTACCTTGGAACAACAATTACCACCAACAATGACTTTAATACCAAAATCATAAGCCGTATACGCGAGGCAGAGAGGGCTTATTTTGCATTACAAAAATTTTTTAGATCAAAATTATTTTCCAGAAAAACTAAAATTAGATTGTACATGACCATAATAAGACCAATTATAACTTATAATTGTGAAATATGGCCCACTACTATACAATTAGAAAATGCTAGTTTTTGAATATAAAATACTGAGGAAGATTTGTGGTCCAATGTTTGATAGTGAGCTAAACAAATGGAGTAGAAGAAAAAATACTGAACTAAGAGAAATCACTGAAGTTCCACTATTAACAAGCCACATTAAGTGTCAAAGACTCAAATAATTTGGTCATAACATGCGGAAAACAGAAACCAATAATACGAGAGCAGCAATTGAACAGCAACCGACAAGGAAAAGACCAAGAGGAAGACCTAGAAATCAATGGATGGATGGAATAAGGAAGGACTTAGAAACACTGGAAGAGACAAATTGGGAAGATAGAGTACAGGATCATGACTATTATAGAACGATGACGATGGCGGTCAAAACTCTTAAAGAGTTGTAAAGTCAAGAAAGAAAGAAATAATTATATACTTAAAAATTACTTACATATTGTACTGAAATATCATTTTTCCTTAAATTCATATCAGCATATTGTTGTGGTAAAATATTAATTGGTATTCGTGTAACATCATCAATTAACTCAGTGCCTTTTTCCAATGCTTTTATTAAGTTGTCCCAAGTTACTTGGCGGTTACCAATTTCAGTTCCACGAGTTTCAAAACCCTATTTAGAATTTGGAAAAAAATTTCTATTAGTAATAATATTTCTGTATGTATGTATATATATATATATATATATACATATTTTAAAAATATAATTAGACCATGATCTTTCTTTGGTTTTCAAATAACTTTAAAAACTGATTATTAGTTTTAGCTTTCCACTGAACTGGATAGAATCAATATATTAAATACATTTCAAACCAATAAAAATGTGTAGCAATATAATCTAAATAACCCAATAAAAAAATAAATAAATAACTCCTAGGATATAGTAAAATAAGACAAAATAAATGTACTTAAATTTTGTTTTATAAACGTTTAAGATTTTAAAATAATATATAATTTGCATGACGTGTCTTTTAAGCACTAAACTGAAAAAATTTAATTTTTAATTTTTATTTATGAAATAATAAACATAACAATTATTCAACAAGTAAAATAAATTTGTAAACATACATAATGCCTATAATAATAAAATTTAACTTTTAAATCATTATATTAATCAATTAAATTATTACAAAAATATTTTAAACTTACAAGTTCTGGATGTGAAAACTGAGGTAAGCGCCCAATAAAATACGGTATAAGAATAGTACTGCTACATAACAACACTACAGTTGCTATTACTTTACGTGGATGGTTTACTAATAGTTTCACATACCTATAATAATTATTAAAAACAAATTAAAATAACCAATTATATACACAAATTCTGATAAAAAATATTGAACAAGAATACTAACTCATTTTAAATAATATAACCTACCTGATTAAAATTGAGTTATAAAGATAAATAGTAATTAAAATATAAATAAAATTAATTTTACTAATATCAAAAGTTATATAACATAAAAAAGTATATTATCCTTAATAATTTCAAATATATATCTACTACAACTACATGTTTTGTAATAAATTACAATTTATAATAAATAAGATATTTGTAAATACTAATTAGTAAATTATAAAAATGTAACAATTACCAGTCAATCATTATAACAAAGTCTAGCAAATTATTTTATTTGAATAATTAAACCATGTGCAACAACTTCATGCTTTCCATACATAAATCTTTTTGTCCTGAAAACATATAAAACTTATTTATAAACTGAAAATAAAAATTTTAAACCATCAACAATTCAAATTAGTATATACATTTTAGTTATAACAAACATACCGTACCTAACAATGTTTACTAATATTTTTTTATATTTTATTTTATTTTAATTGAAATGAAGATTTTTTAAGTGTACATATTTTATGATTCACTATTTACCGTGAATTTAAATTTTAACTTTAAACGTAAATATTAAAGTTACTTAAATTTATCTGAAAAAATAATTTACACAAATTGTATGTATCAACACTACATATCCACTACAATGATTTGTGAAACTTTTTAGTAACTGTAATATGATTGTTAAAAATAATTATCAGTACCTACCACAAGACATATTCAATCAATGTATTACACAACATTCCCATAAATCCTACTTAAGTTACTTCAACTTATGTAGCAACCCTCTTATATTTTTACTTTTAGAAAAAGTTTAAAGTTAAACTATCAACTTTTCTACACTAAAAAACTATATAAAACTGATATCCTATTAACAACCCAACCATCAATTGTATACTTGCTCTTGAGTTACTATCAATATAATTGCCATGCATAAAGTTGCTATTTCATAAGATTTTTTTTTACTCTAGTATATAATAAAATTATTTTATTTTATCATTTAAAACTTTATAAATTACCATTTTTTACTTATAATAAATCAGTAATAGAAAAATTTAAGATAAAATTCAAAATAAACTCAATGTATCACATTCTAATTAACTATGAAAAAAATTTCTATCTAAACAAAATAGAATTTATTGTTACAACAAGTAATGTGTATTAGTATAAGATTTATTTAACAAATCTTGATTTTACAAAACTTTCAAAGAAAATTTATTTCATAAAAAAAATTTACTACTAATAAATAGTGAAATATACAAATTAATAACTATTTCTTTTATAAACTTTCATTCCAAATTAATATTCTTGTTGAAGGAATAACAAAATTGAAAAATATAATACAGTTTACAGTTTCTTAAAATACTTTTTATGAATTTAAAGAAATTATGTATTTAATTATGTAATTTTCTAATGAACCCGAGTTTCTTATTATAACTCATCAACCCAGATCTAATGGTTCTGACACCTTCAAAACATACTAGGATAAATACAATAATTTCTAATCAACCATTAGTTCCTAGGTAAAGTTCAAATTCGGACACGACCACCCCAACCACCGTACACATAATGTGACAAACACAACAATACAGGAACGAAAAAATAATCGCTGCGGAACACAATTCGTACGCGCCCGGGAAATTTGAAAACGAAACGCGTAGAAATCGAACTAGATATACCTGTTGTTTACACAACTACCCATGTGAACTACGGTCAGAACGTAGGAAGGCAATAATAATTCGAGAGCGAAATCACAAGCACCCATGGTGCAGAATGCATCATTCAGCGGAATAAGTCGCAATCCATCGTCCGACAGTTAATCGATCAATCGATGATCTTTAAGACTTATATGTGACCACGACGTAAGCACCAGAGGAACGATATGAAAAACTATAAGTATTAAAACGTGTATTGGATAACGATAGTGGTAGGTAGTTTCGATCTCTCACGCAGTAGGTACGTCATAGGAGAATGTGCTGATTCGATTTTCGGACGGGACGACGGCGCGCGCGCGCGTGCGTTTCACGGCCATTTTTATTTTTATTATTTACTTCATCTTGGCGACATTCATCGTCGTAGCATACAGAAATCTATGTCGAAGTTCAACACATTGAATAATAATAGTAATAATAATAGTAATAATAGTAATAATAATAATAATAATAATAATAATAATAATAATAATAATTATTCGAGACAAAATGATTAACATAAGAGTTGGACCGCACGATGTACCCACCTTAGGATTCGCCGGAGGCGAAATCGTAATGACGGCCGATCCGCCTGAAGACATCGCAGACACTGACGTCCGTCGTCCGGTGGTGCGTGGGCGCTAACGCAGATCGTTAGAGCTCGGGCTCACGGCGACACGACGAAACGTGTATTGTATGGGCACGGGCGGCGAGCGGACACCGGCGGACGCGCGACGAAGACCGACAATGGAAACCATGGCGACCGTTCGGTTGCTCCGCGGTACACGATTGGTCGCCGCCGCCGCTGCCGTCTAGGCCGTAACCACGAGTCGAAATGCAACGTGCGCCGCGATCTTAGCGATCAGGTGCTAACACCTGTTGGTCGCGTGTATCTTTAAATAAACGAACGGAACGCCGCCGCCGCCGCCGTCCTGGGCTGGTCGGTCTGCGAACCGCCGTCGATAGTCCCGGGGTCCAGCCCGTGAGCGGTGATGAAGACGACCTTCGAGGCAGTGGTAGAATCCGCGACGATCTTTAACCGCAGAATAGATCTATAGCTGAGAACAGTGGTACTCGCGGTGCCGAGATGATGAACATCGAGCGCGATCTGTTTGATAACGTTAGGGGCACTAAGGACTTGGATAATATTATCTCGGATAACACAAATTATTCATCAATACGTTTCCCAGGTCAATTATTTATACTTTGAGAGTAGGAAAATTTTTCTTTAATTTTAAAATTCTTCCAATACCGTAGACCACTCTGTTATATGACCGTGCCATAGACATAAAATATTATGTCCATGGGCGTAGCTAAGACTTAAATCAGGGGAAGACAAAAACATAAAGCGATTAGTGTTAAACTCGTAATTCAAATAATCTACAGATAGACCATTGGATAACACATAAAACGTCAAAATGATTACACGTGTAGATAACACTCGGTCCCACTAAACTATTTTTAGAATTGTCTTATTTAATTTTTGATTTTAATGTAAAACTTACACGTTTGGTATAAACAAATATAATTCAGTTTGAGGCGCAGGGGTGGGAAAGTGCCCCCTGCCCCACCCTCGCTACGCCCATGATTATGTTGAACGCTGTCAGGTCAGTGTTCAGTACAACGTATCGGCCATGCTAATTTTTCAAAAAAGATGTTGATTTTACCTATACTTTTTTAAAATATTTTCTCTCATATTGTATTAAACATTGTTATCTTGTTACATTTGATATTCAATGATTTAATATTTATCAAACCATTGTCTATATTAAGAGAATTTCTATATATATATATATATCATATTATTATTCCTGTAATACTTTTTAAATTTTAGAAAAATTACTAATTATAAAATGTTCTTTCCTTTTCAATAAACATATTATAGATTAATAAATCTGCATATCAGGTGTACATATAAAACAAATTTGAATTTTTAATATCACTTGTACAAATAATTAATCTCATTAAATGATTTTTTGATACATAAAAATAATAATTTTAGAATCACACTTTAGTAAAAAAAATATGGTTGAAAAATGTCCAAAACAATATTATTATTTAATAATTTTACCGCACATAGACTACAACAAAACAACTTGTTATAACATTGATTTTATTATACATTGCAACCAAAGCATTCATCTCTTAAGTTATTTTGTTATTGTAAAAAAAATGATGACTTAAAAAATTATACCTTTATTCTCTGTAATTATACTAAACATTTTTAACACTGCTTACAGTAAATTTAATTGACAACTTACACTATGGCCCATTACAGTATTTTTCCATGTAAATATTTCTTACCATTTAAGTACTATAAAAATAGTACTGTTACATTATAACCATAGCTTACATTAAATATAAATCTGTGTTATAACTATAAACTAATTTATAATAATATTTTCATATTTGTATTTTTATTTAAATCCAAAATTAAAAAATTTAGTAATAAAGTAAAATAATATATTAACAATAATATAATAGGTTATATAAGATTGCTATAAAACATGATAATTTTAATTTTAATAATATATTCCCAATGATATAGTTGTATTCGACACATAGACATATAGAAATAGTATTATTAACATATTAGTATTTTATAATTTGATCAATTTTTAGAGGATAAGTTACTTGGATGAAGAGTTTCTTTTATTTTTTGTATTTTTTTTGTTCTTAATTTGGGAATTAATTTCTGTTTCTGATGATTTGAACACAAGTGGAGTTGATACTCTAAATATGGTAGGAACCATTGTGGCTAATATTCCAAATACTTCTTCAGATATTCCCTGATAATATTATTTTATTTGATATTTTTTTATTTGTATATATTAATATTTTTTAGTTAACCACTTACTTTTGGAACTAAAAACTGAATAGTCTTCAACTCCGATCCACCTAATGATACGGACTCTATCATGAATCCTTTCACACACTTTAAAACTAATTCTGCCCGTTTCTGACACCAAGGAACTGTCATATCCTAAAAATAATAATTATTCAATCGATTTAGTTTTTTAATATAATTCTTAGGGTGACCATACACCTTGATTCAAATGGAATTGTGATTTTCAATTTAAAATTTATCATATTAACTAAATAAATAACAATAAATTATGCTTCATATATATTTTGTGTTCATTATAGGATGATTATTTTATAAGATTATTTAAAATTATATCGATTTTATACTTTGTAATCATATAGTTCAAAGAAAATAATAATTTTTTTATATTTTTATATGTTCACCCTAAGTAAAATAACCAGTATTCATAGTTACTTCAGTCATTTCATGTGTTAAAAATAATGGAATAGTTATCATAGTAATATCATATGAACAAGCCGTTTTTAAAATATTCCGTAATCCCAAGATTACAGGATGTCTTGAGTTGATATCACCTAAAACAGTTAATTATTATAAATATTATAGTACTCTTCTATAAACAAACAACTTTATCACTGAATAACAAACCTGATTTTAATGAGTCATCAATAACCATATGAAATACAAGGTGAACAGAAGCTAAATTTGAATGTTTTGTAATATAAACATCACCACATTGTAATAGTTTTGATTTATTTCGCCGAGCCTATAATTTGACTTGATATTAATTTAATACATACTTTCCTATAATTTACTAATTTACCTGCAACTCTGGAGATAAGAAATTACTAACAGGTCCCTTGTATTTACGATTTTCCACAGCTACTTTGAGATCTGACTTAATAATCTCTAATTGATCTTGTAAAGAATTAAAATGGAATTCTGTGCTACCTTCACAAATATCAAAAAACTCTGCAACAAAAATATGTCAGTATAGTATATCAAATATATAAATAGTATTTCCAAATTACCCTTTGCTAGTCCAGAGTAAAAATCTAAATTATTGGTATCAATGAATAAAATAAGACCTTTAAGATCTTGAGAATACAATTCAAGTACTGTTTGTAATCTTTGAGGATGATGCACAACTGTTCTATAAGAATATTTAATTTCATTGTACTTATTTAATATAACAATTAACTTTGACACATTAAATTTTTTCTATTGATTTTATAAAACTACATACCCGTTTTCATGTAATGTCAATCTTAACAGATTTAAAGTATCTGCTGACATAATACGAATATTATGGGTGGATTTCATTTGTGACCCAAGATGTATAGTAAAGCTTTCTTCCATATCATATAATGACATATTTGAAATAGTAAATCCATTTGCAACAACTCCAACTGGTGAATTCCTACATAAATTTATTATTCTAAATATATATATAAATCCTTACAAAAAAAAAAGAAAAAAATCCTATTATTTTCACCCAATAGGAGAATATAATCCATCAACTCCTTGCATTTCTTCTACAGATTTCATAACCCATTCTCTATACCCGGTTCGCTGTTCTTGTTTTAAAGTATCCAATCTACTATTCCATTTACCCTAATATAAATTAATAAAAAAAATAGATTTCAAACAACTAGAAATAAATAATAATGTAAAATATACATATTATATTTGCATTTAATAACAATTTAGTTTTGGATGTTTTCTTAGTCAATAATTATTTAAATAGAGAATTTAATTTTATAATTGTACCTATTGTTCATTATTGGACTGAAACTTTGAATTTTACCATTATACTTCTGATAATAATTTTCATTCTATTATATTTTCTAAAATAAATTGAATGTCCTGAAGAGAACATTCTTGGTGAAAAAAAATCCATTTTACACTATAAATGATTGATCATTTTTATTTAATACTGAATCCTGATTTAATAATCTTATTTCAATTTCCTATTATAAGTCATGGCCTAATCTTGATAATTCAATGACAGTTAGATAAATAGTGTCATGAATCAGATACAAAACATTAGTATGAAGAAACAAGATAATTTAAAAAAAAATCAGATAGTTTTGTAATATTATAATTACAATAGACCTATATGATTTTAGTATATTAATGATTAATAATAATAATCCAAATCTTCTAAAAATAATTTATTTTAACTCAGTAAATGGCTGAAAAATACTATTTGTACAATCAGAGGTAATGTAATGGAGACTACTGACTCACGACCAATTGGGTAATAATATCTACCAGATTTTGACTATAGTCTGTAGGGTTCTCCTGATAAATAGCAAAATAATGAACGCTATTATACTATTAAAATATATGAAATTTTATGTAATAAAATTAAAATGTTGATAGTCAACATCATAAAAATTCATTCTGCCACTAGATAGAGCCCAATATACCAATAATAAATGTAAAATACAACTAAAATTTTATGAAGTTAACATAAACTACCAACATTTTGATTAAGTTAAAATAAGTTTATAATTTCTGGTATGCATAATCTAAATAATATATGGAATATTTCTACTTTATAGGGCACCTTAAATTTTGAAATTTTTTTTTTTGTCTTATGTATTTTTCATTACTGAATTTGATGATGCAAACAAAAATTAGCGCTCATTATTAGTTTTATAGTTATAGTCATTTAAAGTTAACAGTTTGGTTTAAATAGCCTATGTTACATAATTTTTTAAGATTGTATTGTGGAACAATGAGTAACGTGGCTCTACCATATAGAGAGGAGGGCACTATATTATATAGAATACTAAAGTAAATTTTACAAAATAAAATAATTTATTTACTTGAATTAATGTTTGATCATCAAAATGCTTTAGTGCTAAAGCATTGATATCTTCTTCTGTACTATAATTATTTAATCCATCCATAGCATAATTCATTTCTTCAGTTTGACTACATAAAAATGATTATGTACATTAAAATTAAACTAATAAAATCTATCTAAAATATAATTATACGTTTTTGTTAAAGATTTAACTTGTCTAGATTTTCTACACATAATATCTTGAACTGCTTGAGCATAGCCATACTCTATGTGTAGTATTGCATCTAAAGAAGGTCCTGAATGAGCCAACTTGTGAAAAGCAGAAGCAAACAACTGATCATTACTTGGTCCTTTATTATCAGTAAATGAGAAGGTTTCCTAAATAATATTAAATTAAATACAAATTAAACTAATGTAATATAATAAAAAATTTATACCTTACCTCTTTAAATGCTTTTTCCCAGTATTTAACAATGTCTTCTACTTCTATAGTTTCATTTTTAATACAGTCTATTGCTTCAACTGTTTGACGGTTGTAAACTTCAATTGAACTTTTGTCTATGAATTTTTGTAATTCACTAGAAAGTTCTAGAAATGGAATGTCATTAATAATATTGTATTGACATAATATAATATATTTACCTTCTATGACATATAATGGCAAGTTAAATCCGTTTATAATTCTATGACTTAGTTCATTTACACTGCCTTCAAAAGGTATATCGACAGGTACTTCAATTATATAACTTTCAGGAATCTTAAGCGTAGCAAATGTATAACGGAAAGTTTCCTGATATTTTTTATCATAGTCTTTGGTTCCATTCATTATAATGATCAAGAATGCAAATGTTCTTTATAAATTCATATTTTTATTTATAAATAAAAATTTACTTCAGAAGTTGGTTAAATCTTTTAAAAGTGTTATCAACTATCATACCAAATAATGTTTATTTACTTATCACATTTAATGATATTATGTTATCATAAAGATAAGAATTGAAACCTTGCCCAATTTTATTCATTGCACAAGCTGGACTATTAATTTATACTTCCTACATATATAGATTAAATATATTATATATTTAATCTATTCTACATATACATTAATAGTTAGTACTTGATTAATAATCAAAAACATTTCATACCAATGTAATCATGGTTTTAAAATTCAACATGCATGACTTTATAATAACTCGAATATTAAGCTGTTTCTTAAATATTGTTTCATCAAGTACTAACAAAATAATGTTCAGGTCAAGAGGATTGTAATTCTTTTAATTAAGTACAGTATGTTAGGGGCAAAGTCAATAGCTCAAATTCTCCAAATATGTATGATCAAACCAACCTTTGTTAAACCTATATTACTACACAAATCAAAATTAATTTAGTTTACAGCAAGATAGACCTATTTAATGTTATATATTTAATTAACACATTAATTAACAGTTGATTTCAAATAACTGAAGAATTATTAACTTGGAATAAAATCAATTTATCTAAGTGCAAAAATTAAAATATAATACTTATGTACTTAACACAAAAAAGAAAAATCGATTATTTATTAATAAACAACTCACCAAATATATCAAAAAAAAAAAAATCTTTCATAATCTTTAAATAACAAAAGTATTTTTCAAGTTTTTCTATGACTTTAGAAAACCATGGCAATGGAGATAAAATACTAAATTCACAGTTTCAAAAAACATAATAGTTGTTTAATTTTATTTTATTTAATACGATTATGTGAAACTTCATTTAATGTAGTTAATGTTTAAGTAATTTTCAGATATCACCATTCATAACAAATTTTTATTTACCAATGAACATTTAACTTTAAGTAGTACCAAAAACTCAACATTTTTAATTTTTTTTCCATTCTTCAAATTTCAAAATAATCATAAAAATGAACATCAAATCAACTTATCTAATTCATATAAAAATAACCATCCAAAATAACAAAATGCAAAATAAAATAAAGTATAAAAATTTAATTGTTTTAATTTTTATTCAGAAAAATCAAATATAATATCCATTTTACAAGAAACTGGTTGTCGGGCGTCGAATAGAGAAAGTGTTATAACGACGACGTTTTCCTTCAACACGGTGAGGTAGAGGGAAACGGATGTCACTGTCGTGAAATTGTTTAACATGTGGTCTTCTGGTGTTCTTAGCCTTCACAACTTCCACTTTAATAATCTGAAAAATAAATAAATTTGCATTTTTTAAATTTATTACAAATTTCGAAATCAGCAGTATTCTATTAATTTTATAATAAAATAATTACTAAGCTCAATAGTTTTGATACATGTTATAGAAATCCCAATATTTTAAGTTAATTTTAGTTGGTAAATATGGACTAGGAGTAAGGAATCTAAGAGGCAACACCCTTATAGAATTTTGCACAAAACATAAATTATCAATAACAAATACACACTTCCAACATCATAAGAGAAGACTTTACACTTGAAAAGCTTCCGGTGATACAAAGCGGTCACAAATAGACTACAAACTGGTTAGGGAAAGATTTAGAAATCAAGTGAAAGATAGTAGGAGCTACCCAGGTGCAGATATAGACAATGACCATAATCTCATAATGATGCACTGTAATCTCAAGTTTAAGAAATTACGAAAAACAGCAAAGAAATCTCTCCAAGTGATGAACTTCAGAAATGAGGCCACCAGGGAAATATATAGGGAGAAAACAAACAAAGCTATAAGAGAGTTTCAACATAATACAAGAAATCAACGATGTGGATAATAGATGGGAAAACATAATACAGTGCCTATTAAAGCCAGTAGAAGAGGTATTGGGAGAAAGGAAAACAGCTGCTAGGAAAGAATGGATAATTGACAACATAGTAAAAATGATAAATGAAAGAAGGAAATATAAGAATTCAACCGATCAACGAAGCAGGGAAAAATACAGAAGTCTAAGAAATGCAATTAACAGAGAATGTAGGAAAAGCAAGGAGGCATTTTTGGATAGTATTTGTACAAAAGTTAATATACAGCTAAAATCAGGGAAATAGACAATGTATATGAAATAGTAAAAACTTTTTTCGGAAACAGAAAAATAAAATTGACAAGTATGAAAGGGAAAAGTGGCATGATTCTGTTTGAAGAATCGGAAATAACAAATCAATGGAAAGAATTGCTGAAACACCTATATGGAGAGGAAGAAGATTCAAACATACAATTAGAAGAAGTAGATCGATTAAACACAGTAGGTGAAGATTGAACCATAATGAGGGAGGAATTCGAAAAAGCTTTTAATGAGTTAAGGGATAAGAAGGTTATAGGAGTAGACGAAATACCAGCAGAATTTATAAAAAACAGTAGAAAAAATGTCATGAACATACATATGAACTAGTCTATAGAATCTATGAAACTGGGAAAATACCCCAAAATTTTACAAAATGCAGAATAGAGCCATACCCAAAAAGGCAAGAACAAATACATGTGAACAGTATAGAACATTGAGTTTGCTTCTCATGCTTCAAAAATTCTTACACGTATTGTGTTGAGACGAATAGAAAACACTGAAGACAGCCAAAGACCAGTTTGGCTTTAGGAGGCAAAGAGCCACAAGGGAAGCTATACTTGCACTAAGACAAGTTATTGAGAAACAAAATAGGAAAAGCAAACCAACTTTCATAGCTTTTATAGACTTAGAGAAAACCTTTGATAACGTAAAATGGAAAACATTATTTCAGATTTTGAAGAAATCAGGAATTGCAAGCTCAGATCGAAGAATAATTAAAAGTCTCTACAAGAACGAGACAGGAGTAATACGCTATAGAGATAGTCAGGAATCAACAGAAATTAAGAAAGACGAAAGGTAGGGATACTCCTTATTCCCATGTTTATTTAACTTTTATATACAAGGAGCCGTTAACCAAGTGAATTAATATATGCAGGAATAAAGATTCAAGATGAAAAAGTAGATGTGCTTCGGTTTGCGGATGACATAGTGGTGTTAGCGGAGAGTGAAGAATTACAAAATATTCTAACGGTCATGAATATTATATTCAAAGATGAATATAATATGAAAATAATTAAGTCAAAAACTAAAGTCCTCGTCTGTAATCGAAATGAAGTAGCTAAGCCAGTGTAGTGAGCCGGTCTGATCAGAACTGACTCAATACGTTTTATGACGAAGTCACATATACATTAAGTTACATTTCCTACACCATGTACAACTAGCTATAGCAGATATATTTACTAATTGACAAATAACTACAACATTGTATAGTCATACACATTATAATCATTATGTATAAAATAACAATATTTTCATATTTTTCTGTCTTCTACATTTAAGATTATGATTGTTCACAATTAGGAATCTAACACGTTTTATTTGACTAAAACTAAGTACTTTTTGAACATTCTACCAATCAACCTAATTATGCAAAAATATTTCTGAAAACTGATTTGAATTTGTCATTATGTTAACTTGAAATCAGTCAAAAGATGAGGGTTTTGTTTAATTTTTAACTGTTTGTTACAGATCTCCTAAAAGGACTTTTAATAAGTTACTCTACAAGTTAGTATGCATAGATCAGAAACTGACAGAAATAAGGTTACCAGCAAATCAAAAATTCCAATTAACAATGTATATATGTAATAACTGAATAATTATAGCAATAAATATAAATGAAGATTTTAAATTTGAAATCATTTTTTAGTTTAGAAATAAATTAATGCAATTTAAATAATAAAATTTTTAAGTCAGCCGAACTACTTATAAATTACTTACTAACCCCAAATTAATATTAATGAATACAAATAAAATGTAGAACATTTAAAACAATGAATAAACTTAAATATGAAAAAAATTAGAACTCCAAAAAGTTGTATAAGCAGGTGATACATTTTATAAAAAAAATGTTATTTACTTAAAGTTTAAATGTACTTATCTATAAAATAATAATCAGTTAATTTAATCTTCATTGAAATTTACCCACTTTAATACATTGACATTAAGTAATTAGTTTAATAATTATAGTAATAAGTTTTAGGTGTAAAGTTTATACTGAAGATATAGTATTAATATTTAATCACGTTAAACTTTAAATACAAATAATATCAACACATTTAATAATTGAAAATCTCTAGATAGGTTAAGTTAAATATAATTAAATTTTTAAATTATTAGGTTAAATAAAATTCAATTTTACCTGGATAGCATGAGCCCTAGCTCTATGTCTTGCACCCATATCCCTATAACATTTAGTAACAGCACTTGCAACAGTGGTATCTCTGTATTCGCGGTACATGTTGTGAGTACCAGATCTCGAATCATAACGTAACCACACTCCAAAATTTTTAATTTTTGTTGGCGATTTGTCAGTAACCTATGAAATCAAATAACACAATTAAGTTTCAGAAAAAAAAAAAGGGAGACTGTGAGTAAATAATTACATACCTCTTTCAAAGATACAATTTCTCCTGTGCTCTTTTTGAACTTCTTAAGTTGTCTTAAAAAATACCAAAAACGAGATTTAGCAACAATGCGATCTGGAGCAAATATCCTCATTTTATATAAAGGTGTAGTCTTTTCTTTTTCAGTCGGCAGTTTGCGACCGATGACTTCATATTCCTTCAACTACAAACAAATACAATAAATTACAATGAAAGTTCTGGATGAAATCTAACTCCATTGCCACATGTCATGTGATATGAAGTAGTTAATAACATGTCTCGCTTCCATTTTTATACTATAATCTATTCATAATTTGAGGTCGATAACAGTAATAATAATTTAGACGTTGAGAATACTTACATCTCCCTTGGCTCTCATTTTGAATTTAAGAAAATCCTTTAACTTTAAACGAAAAAAGCACCTACCAATTGAACAATTTAATAAAATGAAAGAATACCAAACATAACCTATAAACGAATACTTTAATCTTTAATTTTCATAAAACACAATCATCTCATGGAGAAATAAAAAAGAACTGACCACATGCCATGAAAAAATTATTATATTTCACATTTGTCAAATGGTTATACTGAGTGTTCAAAACTAACACATAGTTATTATTACTAATTCTTTTATTATTATTATTCATATTCACTTTTCAAGATAAGAACTTGGTGAATATTTGTATACGACAATGCAAGTTATGTATTTCTACCAAATATAATACATATCATTAGCCAAAACATTCGTAATGTGTTGGCAGATAGTGATTGAAAAAAAATATCTGTTTCGAAGGTCGTGACGTTAAACATGTTCTGCTATGTTTCTTCGAAACGAAATACGTCTGCTTAGATTTTGAAAAATAAAATAAATATAGTTACAAGATGGCTAATTGGACTGCTTTCACTTCCGGCAATTGTATGTTTGAAATTTATATTAATATAATATAATTTTTCGTATTACTCATAAAGTTTTACGCATTTCAGCACCTAAGGTCCCAAATCGTCCTGCTCCTCCGCCACCAAAATCAAATAAATCTTTGTAAGTAAAAAATATATAATATAATAGTATAATAAAAAAATTAATTTTTATTGCATGTTATTAGAAATCAATCAAGATTAGCAAAAGTTTTATCTTTTAATCAGTCAAAATCTCAGGGTAGTTTACAACAACAAGTTAAAAAGAAACCTCCTCCTAGACCACCTCCACCTAAGTTTGTGCTACCGCCTAAGAGTCAAGTAATATATAACAATTTGTTTATTTGTTTTACAATATTACATAAACTTAATAAATATGTTTTTGTCTTGTTTTATAAATTTTCATTAAAAAAAAAGTGTCAGAAATACACTAGATAATAATTTATTTCAATTAAAATTTTTTTTTTTCTTAAAAATTTTTTATTTATAATATTATTAAATAATAATACTAATACAATATTTGTTTTTATTCTTGAGTTATTTTTTAAATACAATTTTTTTTTCAAAATAAAGGTAAAACTATTTGTATGTTATTAATAGATAAACTATAACAATGAGGCAGAATATCCCACATCAAATTAATGTATTCTTATAATGAAAACAACTATTAAATTATATTATTAATTATTATTAATTATTATTATATAATGATCAATACAAAAATGTCCATTATAGGTTACTGTCAATTGTTTGGTATATTATTTTTAAAATTTCAATTTTAACAATACTATCAATCTTAATGGTACTTTAAAAAATGTGTTGTTATTTTAACCATTAAATAATAAAATATGTATAATATAGGGAAAAGCTGGTTTATCATCTTTAATTGGACTTAAAACTAAGCACACTGTCCCAACTCCTTCTTGGGTTGGAAAGACAAATGAAATTCATAAATCAAGTACTACTCAAGTTGGTTGTCTCATAGATCTTAGTTCACCTCAAACATCTCCTACGTCTACTCATAAGTTTGTATTACATTAAATTAAATAAATCATATTTTACTAGTAAAGAACACTTTTTTTCTTAGATCTAGTAGTGATGGAAATAGTGTAGATAGCTTCAACAGTGATTTTAGTATGTGGAAAGATTCTCAAGCTGAAAGCAGTGGCTTTGAAGATGATTTTGATTTATTAAGTTCCAATGGAGATATGGATTATTTTAAAAAGCCTTTTTCACAAATAAAAACTGAAAATTCATTACCACCACCATCACTACCACCACCAATGTTACCACCAGATGCCTTAAATGTATTATTAAATGGCCCTAAATTACCTCCAAGACCTAATAATATGGTGAGATAAATAAAAGGAAAATTCTATTAAACATAACATTTAATAATGAATACATAGTTAAATTTTAACTTTTCCATCATTAATTTTATTAACGTAAATATAAACAAATATAATATAATTAATCTTATATTTTTAATATTATTGCATAATTTTTTAACTATGATTGTCTACTATAATTTTTTATTCAGTATTAATTTAGAAAAAGAAAAATTATATTTGTTTACATGCTATTAAATTTTTTAATATATAATTTGAAGTATAATGACTAAAATCAAAAATAATGAAAAAAAGTGATCTTAATCAAAGCTTAATAATATTTTTTACAAATATTTTTATGACAAATAACATTATTTAATTTAATTTTTACAATATTTTTTAATTACAAATATATATTTTTATTTTAGGAAAATAATTTATCAAAGTCACAGTCAAAATGTACTGCTCTATTTGATTATACATCGGATCATTTTGAAGATCTAGTTTTTACGGTAATAATTTTAACCAATTATTAGTTATTCTCAATATTTAATTTAAATGTTTATATTTCAGAAAGGTGATCAAATTTACATTACACGAAAAGTAAATGATGAATGGTTAGAAGGTACATTAAATGAGCGTACTGGAATGTTTCCCATTAGTTATGTGGAAATAACCGAATCATTACCCAAAGAATCTTCATTTAATGAAGAAATTCGTAAAGTAATCGCTGTATTTGCATTTAAACCGGAATGTTGGGAAGACCTCAGTATTGAAGTAATTATTAAAACTAATGAGTAATATTCAGATCTTAATACAGTAAAACTTCTAAGTAGTGAACACTCCACCAAAATTTTGTCCACTATTCAGAGAGGGTACATTTTTGAAATTCATAAGGGGTAAATTTGTGAAAACAAAAAATATGCACTGTGTTAAATAAAATTAAAGTTTTATTATTTAATGTTTTAATGATATAATAATGTATATATATGTAATAATAAAAACAATTCAGATTGTACATACTCATTTAACAAAAATGAATAGGTACTTACTTAAATTAAATTAAATTTGGGGGGAATAAATTGATTAGCTTAGTTTGTTTACAATTATACTGTCTCTGTACAATTGCCAAAGTTATATTAAAAAAAGAAAATATTCCTGCTTTCTACCTCTATTGACAATATGAAACAACCTACATCCTTTATATTGGGCAAAGCGTCCTGTAATTGTGTAATGAAAAATATTTTTTGTTCCTCAAACTCTTTTTTTTTTTTTTCTTCATTGTTATTCTTATGGACCTCATCAAGCTCATTAGGATCAATAATCATTTTCATCATTAGATTGTCCTATCAAACTATCCTGTCCAATATAACATAGCAATTTTACTTCAATATTGCTGTTAAATAGTATGATGGGTGATATATGTTCTTTGTTAATTTTTGATTCAGTATTAATTATTTGTTCATCGTATTGACTGTCTTGGTGACTAAAACCTTACTGCAAAAAGCACTATCTTACAGTTTCAGACTTAAGGTGGGCTTGATTAGAAGCTACCCAATACACAGCGTCCAAAACATTTATAACACTAGAATCACCAGTATCTAAATAAGTAACAGCTTTATTTAACAGTTGCTTATAATAGTGCTTTTTAAATAGTTGAAATTTTCTCTGATCTTTAATTAACAAATTCATTATCGTTATACTAGTAGGAGTACATTTTTCTATTATCATTTTGTCATTATTTTTAAACTATAATCAAAATAGCTATTTGCTATTTATATGGTTTCTCATTAAAAAGTAATTAAAATGTCCCCATTCCCAAAGAATTGTCCGTTATTGGGAGATGTCTGTTAGGGAAGATTTCACTATATTCTTCTTAGTTTCAGCCTTTAAGACTATATTGCTAACCATAAATCTTTCCATCTTTTCCTAACTTCTGCTGCTTCTCTCCATGTAATTTCTAGTTGTATTTTTTTTATATCTTTCTTCATGCTGTCTTCCCATCTAGCTTAAGTCTACCTAGAGATCTTTTCTCCATAGATTCTTCTGTCATCTGTTTAACTATAGCTCCCTGTTTGCACCATGCATAGTCTGCCTATATTAGACTTTTGTCAATCTCCTTAATAGTATTTAGTTTTTGAAAAAGCCCTTAGAGTTCTTCATTATGTAGTTTTCTCCGTTTATTGATTTTATTATCGAAAACTGGACTACACATTTTCCTTAGGACATTTTTTTCAAATATCATTAATCTCAATTCTTCTGATTTGCTTTTTAAACGCCCATGTTTTACTATATTATGGTTATTATTGTATTATTATGTATTTATTGTGTATTATTTATTTTCTGTTTACAGGAAGGTGATGAAATTCAAGTATTACGAAAAATCAATGAAGATTGGTTGTATGGTGAGTGTAATGGGTCTAGAGGTCAATTTCCATCAAATTTTGTCACTGAACTTCCTGATGACTTATAAAAAGTATATTGTGATATTAAAATATAATTACCAAAATATATTATGTATTAAATTACTTTATTTTTGTTTTATATACTTGAAAATAAAATGTTATCATTAAAATTATATATAGTAAATTAGTAACTATTACAAAGAAGAAACAAAATCAAAATAACTTGTAGCTAATTTAATCGAACAATCATTTTTTGCTCAATTTATAAAAGAAACTTGGTATTATGTTAATTAATAAATGTGTCAATAAAATATAAGTTCATTGTTCAACATTTATTTAACGTTGCATAATATGTTTTATCAATATTTTTTATATTGTTATGATTGATATTTGGATTATATTAATTTTGTCCATTTACCAAATGCCATTATTATTTATACTTATTACTTTTTTTACATTTAAATGTATTATTATAAATATTATTATTTTAAGTAGTTATGTTATACAGTTTTGATGAACTTACTCATATGATTTAATAAATTCTTATATTTATGAATATTATTTTTGTATACTCTTTTATATTAATTAATGTCTTTCATATTTGTAATAATTTAAATACATTTGTTTTATACATTTCAAATTGTTTGTTAATAAATAATGAATGGCTAAATTATATGAAGCTGATACTGAGAATTCTGGACTTTTGCTGTTTTAAAATATCACAATAATCCCTCGAACCGTCAATATGTAATCCTTTGAGATTTCCCTGATGCTAGTCTCAATACCATATTTGTAATATTTGAGTACACTACGTCTATCAGTAATTTTAGTTATTAGTACAGTTGACTAAGAAGGATGTATTTGTAGGGTTCAATAAGCACCATGTATGTACTAAAACATTACAATCTATAATATTGATTTAAATCCATTTGGTTTCGAATACTATTATTATCTTGTGTAAAAATATGTATGTTGGAATTATACAGGGATACATTTGGTAATTGTATTCTACTGACACATTTAATAATGTAAAAAAAATTACACTTACCTATAAATATAAAATAATTACATAATTATCTAGGTCTTGATGTATAACACTAAATTTTTTTAAAGTTATTTTAAATTTATATTATATAAGAAATAATATTTAATAAATATTTCGTAGTTTTACATTAAAAGTAAATATTCAAATATAATTAACATTACTTACAATATTATGAATTTTGATATGTAACACAATATAATAAGTTTTAAAATACATTTTTAATTAAATTGTACACAGTTGTTAAACATTTTTCATAAAGATAAATAAAAAAAATTTGTCGGTCGAAAAATATTTAAAAAGGCCACAATATTTAAATATCAGGCCCAACGACGTATCCATGGGGGAGAGTGACGGCATAACGTGGGATTTATTAAAGCAGCTGTTTCATGACTAAAATGGGTTGAATAGGTAGTGTTGTGTGACTGAAAAGTTTAATACATAATTTGCATATTTGACTTAAAATATTACTATCTATTATTTTGTTTGGCAATGTTAATTGTAATATTTATGTACCTACAAGTGTAATTGAATTATGAATTATGACTTGGATTGGGTAAGTACTCGATACACATAACTGCTTCAGTGAAAAATAAACTTCACACAATCACTGGTGGGGGGATAGTAGTTTTTACCCAAAAAATATTGATGTTAGACTTTCATTTTGTTATTAAGCTTTCATACGGTTTGGCAACCAAACTTCGGTTCAAAATGAAGTGTCTCCATCCTAAATGTATAAAAGATGTCGGGCCAAGACCCGACTTCAATATACCTAAGTTTCGGTGTCACTCATTTTTATAGTACCAATATGTTGCACATAATCAATATTTTTACTATAAATAAGCATATTGATGTTGGAGAAAGAAATAATGGTTTATGACATTAGTGTACTATTTACAAGAAATGCTGTTTTGAAAATTAACAAAACAATAACTGTTCATTCTTGATTCGTTTGTAAATTTTATTTTCATTGACTGAATTCAAATAATTTAAAAACTTTAACTCTATATTATAAGCTTTATACGCTTAACTTTATAAATTCTACCATAAAAAATATAATAATAAGAATAATAATAGACAATTTTTGCCAACATACTAAATGAAAAATAAAAAATACTTTATCAATAGCCGTTGTTGGCCGTATCAGCAGACGCAATAATTCGTCCACGACAACAGCAAAGGCTTTTGCAATTTTTACGATGACACTAGTAGCGTTTTGGACTGACCAGTGGTGCGATGGTTATGGCTAGTGGTACCGAAACTGCAGCCGATGATGATATACATTGGTGCAAATAGGGAGGATTAGACTACCAAGTTACTGCCAAACCTCTCCAAATTAAGTATTAAGTCATTTATAAGAAATATAATGACTTTTTTTTATCAATGAGAGAGCTTGAATTCTTTTAAAAAAATTGAGCTATTCGCGCCTATGGTGATATGGTTAGTGGTTTCCCAACAATGGCAAGCGGCGCTTTAAAAAAATATTCATCGCGGCGGTAATCATCGGCCGAATCCATCTTTAAAAAACGACCGAAAGCAGCCAGCAGTCCGCCGTAACTGCCAGCAACAGTAGATTTTAGTCAACAATTAAGGCGGTGGTACGAAAACCGTTCAGAATAACTTGTGTGAAAAACATAGTCATTTGATCACTACCGGCCACGATCTCGGCAAGATAAATCGCTCGAGACAATCACCAGCGGTGGTCCGTTTTGACCATTTGATCAAGTGGCTGAACATTAATCACGAATCCAACGAGATGGTCAACAATTGTAGCGTAATTTGAGGAAGGAAACTCATGCATTTGCTACAGTCTAGAGTTTAGTTATTTTGAAGTCAGCACATCATCAAAATGTAAAAAAGTATTGTATTAAGTTATTAGCAGCATGTTGTAAATCAGAAAATCCTACAAAAAAAAAAAAAAAAAAGATTGTAAAAGATCGTTTGGTAGAACATCGTGGCTAGTCAATCTCAAAAAATGGTTTGACAAAACCTCTGTAGAATTATTCCGAAATGCTGCTAACAAATTTTGTATATCAATGATGTTCCCCAACATTCGAAACCAATCGACATATTAAAAAAAATAAATCAAAAAATGAGACGTGTACTCAGGCGCGGATCTAGAACTCAAATTGGGGGGGGTCATTTTTTCAAAAGTAAAAAAAAAGATAATACGCGATTACAAAATAATAAAAGTAATTTATTAATTCAAATTAGAATGTTATGAATATATGAAATTGTTAATTTTTAAAATGAAATAACAAAATGTAATCTTCTTTGTTTTATTTTTCCAAATATAGAAATAATATTAATAACATTTACGTGTATATTTTTGTGAATATTGAACAAAGCGTTCCTTTTCCATGTTTAAACGAAGCCATGAAACCTTAAGCCTTAAAACGCCTAAGAGTAGAGAATGATCGCATGTATAGTATTTTTTAACATGTTATTAGAACCTAAATTAGCGATTAGCGGTGCTATAGCAAGTATATGGTATAATATTATATAAACATACTGGTAACGGATTGGGAGTAACCGAATTAGTTCCCGTTTGAAAAAGGTATTTTATTTGATATAGCCGAATTGGTTCCCGCTTGTGTACAGGTTAGGCGAGCCACTGCATTGAGAACAAAAAACAAAATTTTAAAAGCTATATGTATGACATATAGACATAATTATTATATCGATAAGATAGAGTATAGAAATATGATAGATATTATATAGATTACTAGATATTAACAAACAGGAAAAAAATAACAAATAATTGGAAAATTGTATGACTGAGTACATTAATGAGAAGATTACGAGAATTGAATATTTAAAGAAAGTTAGCTTCAAATTTGCAAATCAATGGTTTTAGAATATATTTATTATATTTTATTATTTGTATTTCGTACACCTAAGTGATGACTAGTCGACTTCCAAATCAATGATTTAAAATTGAATATTTTTATCATTTTTTTTTTTTTTTAACATACATTAACGCATATTAACCAAGCCTGCTTTAAAGTTGACAGTCCTAAGTCTGTAAAATTGAAAAGGAAAACGTGCGTAGTTAAACGGAAACCAATTCGGCTATACCTAATAAAATACCCTTTTTAGACGAGAACCAATTCAGTACCAGCCAACGGATTGACAGTAATCTTATCTAAGATAAGTTATATTATATAAGTTATCTTTCCGTCGAAGGTCGAACACTCAAAAATTTCCGCAGATTTACTATTATATTTATATTTATTCGCCAACAAAATTATAGTCTATCATTAAGTTTATAATTACTATTAATATTCTTAGTTGGATGGAAATTATGATTTTATGAACAAGTGGTTATGTAGTTTAAATGTACATAAATGTAATATGTTGTATAACATTTTTATTGCAAGAAAAAATCTAATTGAAAAAAAATTAAAAACGCATTTTATGCATATTTTAATTTTTAAATAATCAAGAAGGATCTAATCTTGATTTGTTTTTCTGGTGGGGGTCATGACCCCCATGACCCTCCCCCTGGATCCGCGCCTGCGTGTACTATACGGATTTTTATGTACAATATACAAATCATTATATTTTTGGACTCGTTTCAAGTCCTTCTCCCCTCACGTTAATCGGTACTTCAGTAAAATGAGCCACCGAGTCGGTAAATTAATAAGAACATGCCGAATATTCTAAAAAAAACTGAAATTACGCCACTGACCATCAATAGTTGCTCAGTTCCAGGGCCGTCCGAGTAAGACCCACATTATGGTAAATCAGTCGGCGGGGGACCTTCAAAAATGTTCCTACTGTCTTGACTATCTTAACGATCGAGTTATTGAATTCTGCCAATTCCTTAGTGCCCACGATAATTGTAAATACAGTCACGCCCGGTTCTATTATGCACTCATATTTAACTAGCTAACATAGACGGTGTCAAATATTTAAGGATTCTATAAAAAAATAAAATATTCTATTCAATAGTTTTTAAACAATTATAAGTTTTGTATACACCTTCTAAGGTTATAATTTTTAGTCTAGACATTGGAATATTGGATATTGTTTTCAATCAGAAAATCTGACGTATTATAATTGTTATTGACATTATTTTTAATATATTTAAAAAAAACCACAATATCTAAATAATGAAATATATTGGAGGGGTTTCACCCAAAAAATATTGATATTAGAATTTAATTATGTTACTAAAATTTGATACGGTTTGACAGCCAAACTTTGACCTAATATAAAACCACTCCATTCATTACCTACATACATTTTTAAAATATGACTGCTATGTATGTGCATAAAAATGAAATTGAAGAAAATTAATCACAAAATATAAAGAAAAGGAAAAAAACTTAGCAAAAAATATGAAAACTAAATCGATGATTTGCCTAAACTATCATGGCGCAAATAAAATATGTAGCTGTGTAGAGTCTACCTGTAGATAACTCAACATTGGGATTTCTCGGATACCTACTTCAATAATTTCAAATTGGCATTTGATGAAATTAATAAAATTCTGAGGAGTAAGATAAATAGTAGGTAATAATAATGTCTTTTAAAACTAGAATACATGATTTTGTCTTATTATAGAGAAATAACAATAACAATATTCATTTAAATTACAATTATGTTCCGTCTAATGAGTAATTGATTGTACTTTGTTATCATCTAAATCAAGTTGTCTCTGGGCATCTAGGCACTCTTTCTCATTATTGTTCAGTATTTTATAGTTAAAATTAAAATTAAAATTACACGTGTAATTCTTTTAATTTAGTTTACGTTTTTTTTTTTTTTTTTTTGTTAGAAAAGGTAATATTTACTACATTGTCGAATTATGTGTTGCCGAATTCATACGTTCAACAGAAAAAAGTCCGCTTATTTCACAAAACATTCGTAACATACATATATGTAGGTATACTCATACGAGAACACTAAAGTGTACCATATTTTACTTATGAATATAATACATATTACAGTTACAGGCCGGTACACTCGACGCTGCAATGCCTGCAATGGGACAGCGTTTTGATTAATATTACGACGACGAATTGATAAAACGTTTTGCAAAACAATTCATCCATGAAGTGAACAGGCATATCATATTATGATGTAGGTATACATAAATATAAACTTGAGTATAAAAGCATACTACATATTAATACCTGATCGTTACGGCCGACGACCACGTACCATGGACCTCTGGACGTCCGAGACGGGTCGATTTTTTTTTTCTCAGTCCACGGAAACCGACGGTGATCAGTCGAAACTTTTTTTCATTCCATGTGCGCGGTTAATGGCCATGCGATATTTTTTACACCGGTGTAAAAAAAAACCATATCCGATTCAACAACGGAACCATGTACACATAATCAGAAGTGGAACTAGGAATTTTTACGCCCGAGGAAAACGTTAAGATTACGCCCTATCATAGACCAATAATCAAATACACTTCGCGACCATTTTTTTTTTAATAATTAACATACAATAATAAATATTGAGTTTTTAATCTAATAATAGTAATTAACATAGTTAAAAACATCAACTATCTAGTACCTAGTTAATAACACAAAAATTACACCCTTTAAAATTGTACGCCCGGGGACTTCCACCCCTGCATATAATGTAATATGCTAACAATGCCGTAACACGGTCTGTCCAGGGGTCCGGACCCCCCCCCCCGAAATTTTCAAAAGTAGAAGCATTTTATAGATGAATATAGTTTATTAACTATAAATTGTAATAAATAATAATGTTAGACCCCTCCCCCGAAATTTTTTTCCAGTTACGGCCTTGTATGCTAATAATATATATTTGTATACCTATACTGTGCACTGGCAATGACCACGAATTAAATTGCAACAAGATTATAAGTATAATATAAGTATTATATCAGTTTCAACCGTGGCAATGACCGAATGCAGACGCTGAGTAGGTACCTACGCATCAATAGTTTCCTTACGCTTTCGAGTGTCCCGTTAGGTAAGGTTAGTTTTTCCTCACACTGTCGTATTTTCCTATAATTATAATAGTTTATAATTGAAGTATTGTATTTGAAAATAGACACAAACTTTAAATAAATAAGTACCCACTATTATAATATATGATTTTTATTTAATAATTATTATAGAACTATATGTCCATATCTATGTATAATAATTAGTAGATATTTAATATTTTATTTTAAATAAAGGGTTGACAATTTTATATCGTATAACTAAACTTTTAAGTTTTAATTAATCAATTTATGTTTAATTTAGGAATAAAAATAGGTATTTGGTGTCCTACAGACCCATTTTCTTTATTGTACTCGTAATATAAATGTAAAATAATTTCACTTTGGTAGGGCCGGTAAAATTGTTCGATCCGGGCTGGGTCTGAGGAACCAGTCCAACCCTGAATATAGCCAATGAGTGATCACAACTTAGTCTTTTAAATTGTCTATTACAGAAAGTAGTATTTTTGTATTTTGAATTGGTTATAATAATTAAAATAAATTTGTCAATTTCCGTTTGTATTCACAATAAAGTGAATACCTGCAATGATATATAAAGTATTATCAAGACTTTAATTTAATTCATCTGTCAGGTATTTTAAATCTCATTTAAACGTTTCGTAGTTCGTACCGAAATTATTATTAACAGCCACTCAATACATGAAACTCGCAAACGTGGTTTGTTAATAGTTTCTATTATCTCGATGATTTATAATGTAATGCAGTAAACCGTCTTATTTTAATGACGTAGATGTGTAAATGATGTGTAAGCACGATTTTAGATGTGCAGTTAAAGAATTATTTTTGTCCTTCACTTTTCATATGTGTCGTCAATTACTTAAAGATGATGGATGTTTTTTAATTATTAACAAAGAAACTTGTAAAACTACGTACTTACCAACACCTTCTGAAAATTGAGTTAATATCTCTTTATTGAAACATTAGCCATTCAGCCTAGTGTATTTTAACTGAATTAATCAGATAGCATTCAGACGTTTTGTAACATTGTTAAAATCAATATGCTAAAAAACTGAAAAAATATAATTTTCGAAAGAATCAAAAAGCTTATTATCTGCAAAGAATATTATTAGATCATTGAATTTTAAAATATTATATATATTATTATATATAAAGAACACTGATTTTTATGTATTTAAAAACTCAATATACTGTTATTTACTCATAGTTATATTTAAAAACTATAGCATATATTATATTGCAACAATATAAACTTAGACAGTCTATAAAATATAAATCCACTATATTGTAGAGTACTATTATAACTCTAACATATATAAACAATTATGATAAAAATTAAGTCCTGGTATAAATTGTTTAAAGAAAAAAATAATAACTTTGAAACAATGATTATAAACAACATATTTAAATCTTATAATCACTAAATATAGTAATTACAAGAGTATAATACAATAGATATTATATTCTATATTATTATAAATTATATATAGAAACCATAAACTTATTACAAATGTTGTTGACATTTTTTAATGACCATAGGTCAACATTCAGCATATACATTTAATATAATAATGAAACTATAAAGGAAAATTGAATGCATTTAAATAAAACATTTTCATGATATAATAATTGTTATTATTCCAAATAATGTGTCTTTTATGTTTAAATTATAATCTTTTTCTTCTAGAAAAATATTATTAAATGAAATACAAACAAAACGTATAATTCATATTAACAAAACAAAGATTGACTAGTTTGATTTTGGTAAAGTGGAAAAAAGATTACTTATTTTAAGCAAAAGAAATAAAACAACCCATACTTGAGATACATAAAGAATAAAAATAAATTTTATGTAAATATATATAAATAAAAGAACATAAATTGGACTTTTTGAAAACAAAATTGTGTATAATACACATCGATAAACTTATGAACTATAGAAAATAAATAGTAAATAAAATTAAATTTAACTAATAATGGAACATTAAACATGGAATGTTTCTGTTAATACTGGTCGAAGAGAAAGAGTGGAAGGAATCAGACGTTCGGCAACGTACGTCCAGCGTCCATGAGAAATTTGTGCTTTAGCATGCCGATACGTATGCGATTGCCTGATACAGACTTGGACCTCTCTGTCATGTCACTGCGCCTTGAAAATGACAATAACATAATTAACATAATACAATAAAAATGCTAAGTATAACTGAAATGTAACAACTCATTAAACATATTACTAAAGGTACAAAAATTAAATTTATTTCAGAACATTTTTATGTAATATAATTATATATAAGATAAATATAGAAGTATAAAAAATAAATTTTCTACTCTTGTTGAACAAAAAAATTGCAGATAATAGTACTTGATAACTTTCTCAATATTTTAAAATAATTAAGTATATATATATATATATATATATAAATATTTTTGCTCAGTATATTTAAAATAATCTTATTTATTGGTTTTTTTTTTGGTTCTATTTAATAAACCATTTTATTTAAAATTACAATTTTTCAGGCATATTTGATAAACATTTTAGAAATAATAAAACATAACAAATGTACAACCATATAAAAATACTATTATGACATAATGTTAACATATAGAATTGTATATATGTATTTCTAAATTCTTAGTTTATATTTATATTGATATGTTCGTTAAACTGTATTCATTGTATTATCATCACTTAAATCTACAAGAGATTTTAATATGTTTATATTACATAAAAGTAAAAACGTAATATATTAGAACAGTAAATAAAAACAAAAATGTGTGGGCACTTAATTTCATTGTATTTCACTAGAATTGTTATTTAAATATTTTGAAAGGATTACTCTATGCTAGTATATTTATCAATTAACTTTTAAATATTTATTCTTACATAAATTAACTTTTAATATCCTTATAATTTAGAAAAGTTTATAAAAAAAATAATACAGTAAATTTTAAAAAAACTAGTATATCATAAACTACTTAGACAGTGCACATTGCACAAATACACCATTATTAAATTCAAAATGTCTCCTGCTTTTATAACTTTAGAACATATATCATGCGATACAGGAAATAATTAAGTTTGTTAAAAACATATAATCATGCAATACACTAAATACATCATAATAATACACTAAACTATAGATATACATTATCGAAATTTCTTTAAAAATTAAAATAAATAAACCAACTACAATAGTATGACAAATTGAGTCCATAATATTATGATAGTGATATATTATAGGTCCTATAGTACAATATTTTAATAAAAAATAATTTATTCAAATAGAATTGTGTCAAACTTATAACTTGTATATATCAATTAAAAAAAAAATTAATAAAAACCTATACTTAAACTACCTTCATGCTCATGTAAGAGCAGGTGCCAGATGGTTAAAGCATTATAATAGACAAGCAGAAATAATCGAATGCACACATTACGAATAAACAAAACACCATGTCTAGTTTATCTACCTTTCCCAACGCGAAGCTATTGTTGACAGAAATTGCGTCATTGTTTGCATTAAACATATAACATATTTCATGTGTAAATAGTATTATTGTTATTTCATAAATATATTAATTTAATAATAGAAAATAGAATTTGAATTACCTAATAACAGGACGTCCATTTGCTTGTCCTTCTCTATCGAATGTGCATAACGTTGGAGCTGTGGTCGACCGGCACTTGAGAAAAATAAAAATAAAAATAAATTAATTTAATGTAACTAATTTTTAATGTTGTTTTATTTAAAATAAATATACTCGGTCTGTTTGAGTGGCAGCATTTCGAGTTTCTGTAATTGTTATTGATGGCCGTGGTCGTTGAGCTATCTGTTCGTTGAGCAATTGAATCGTACGGTCCTTCTGTTCCATCTGTTGCGCCATATAAGCTATCTGAAACGGATGATCCGCAACTCAGCTCCTGATCAAGGAAAATGCATACTTGTCTCCGAAATGCAGTGGGGAAATTATTAATACACACACTCCTCTTATTTAAATTATATAGCACTAAGATAATCATGCAAGTCATAAGTCATGCATCTATCTAGGTATTTTCTAAATTTAATAATATGTTTTAAAAAATGTAACAAGACACATTTTGAATTTATTTAATAAAATTTTAAATAATTATTTTGAAAAAAATGGAGACATGTATTATCTAATACATATTTAAAATAATTTAAATAACCTGTTGTTTCAAATCCATGATTTGATCTTCGTAACAGCAATGTACTTCCTGTTCTTCTGGGTATGTCATCTCTTGTTTGTCCTAGAATTCCACAGAGTTTATTTTCTATTATAACGAAAAAAAAATGGATTTATGATCCTTGAATAATTTAGTAAATGAATATAATTTTTTTTTCTATAAATATAAATCTTAATATAGCCTTAGAAATAATTATTGACTTTTTTTGTTGTGGATCTTAAATTAATTTAATCTATTTTTGAAATTGGTTTTATAAATGTAATTTTGTTGTACTTATATCAATTTTTTTACTATATTATATAAAATATTTTTTTAATATTATATATCATTTAAAATTACTCAAAACATAAGTAATATTCTAAAAGTTACCTCTATTAGGGCACGGTTTAGCTCGAATAGCATGTTCTTGATACTCGCAATGTCGTCCGTTACCTCGCGAAATCGATCGAAGGTCATTATCACATCCCCATTGCTGCCCTATAATTAACCACTTTAAATTTACTCAAAATTGTCAACACCGCCCAAATATGAAAACGAAAATGTCTACTTACTTTTGAATCTGTTTCATCTTTGATTGGAACATCGTCTTTTATTGAACTGGTACTGTTTCTAAAAAGTAAAAATAATTTATGTATTAATTCTATAAATTTTTGCATGTTTAATTATTTTTATTATTTCGGGATTCGCAATAATAATTTATGAAAGATACCTTTTAAATACTCGTTTCGATCGATTAAATGCTTTGATCATTTTTAAATTTTAACAAGTTTAATATATATTTGCACATGGAACGAGAACTTAATTATGTTATTTGTATAGTTTTTTTTTTCTCGAGAAATTTCAGAAAGAAAACACGTATGGAGAAAGGTCCGGAGTGATTAAAAATGAAAAAATAAGTGACGGGATAGACAGTCCATACACCGTGAAGCTAACCGGTTTAATGACTCAGATGCAGGCAGTTGTGGAACACTTGGCAGTTACTACACTATAGCTACTACACAACCAAGGTCATTAACATCGCCCTCTTTCAGACTCAACAATGAAATATTTTACTCCCACCTATTATCAATTTTTACTCACTCGTCAGCCATTAGCGTGTAGGCAAAACTACATTATATTACTTTAGTTATTATCAAGTAATTACATCATATAATTTTTGTGTATACTACCTATTTATTTACATTAACTATAATTTAATACCTTGGAGATGTTAGAGACTTCCATTCGTTAAATTCACTTTGTTTGTTGTTCTCCAATGTTTTCAATAAATCTTCATTATCAGGATCTACTGATAATTTATCATCCGTTGCCTCATAATCAACATCAAGCATAAGGTCGTCAGAGTTGAGACTTTCACTTAAGGACCCATCAACACTTAGTGATCTTCTCAAGGATTTAGCTATAATTGGGAAAAATATTTACATGCGATTATTACAATTAATGATTTTGAATTAAATTTACCAAATAAATATTTTAATATTAAAAAAATGTTGTAACTTTACGTTTTTTGTTATTACTGGAATGACTTCTAAGTCGAAATAAAGCATCATCAATATCTTCAGCATTGCAAGACTCTGATGGAGGGCCACTAAACATAAGAGCTGGTTGATCAGCTATTTCATCATCAAAAAAATCTCTAGTGTCTGATGAAAAAGATCCAGATTTGGAAATATTACATCGCATAATTGGTGACATAGAGTTACGTTTGTCATTATTTGTAGATTCTGTAAGGGTAAATATTATTTAGCTCATATTATGTTAATTTTTATGAAATAAAAATGTTGAAAATTTATATAACCACCTATTATTTAAACAATAATATAAAAAAATCTATTATTTTTGGCTCAAAAAAATCCAAAATATATTCAAAAAAAATAAAATTGTATAACTTGTATAAATAGTTTTTTTATAATTAAAGTTATATTCAGAGCCCCCACATACAATTTTTGGGCCCCTATACTAAATGTTTGTCCGGGGCCTTTATAAAACTTCCAAAAATACAATTTACTATTTATATATATATAAAACAATTTTAGGAATAATATCTGTTTTTTCATTATACCAATTCAAATTCAAGATTCATAAGCATTTTAACATTAATAATGTCTATTTTATTTTTTTATTACAATATTATTTAAATTAAAAAAAGAAAAAATCAAATATATTTTAATTTATATTTAATATATTTTTTTTAAGTTAAAATTGTATTTTGCGGGCTTTGAGCTCAGCTAACTCAGTAATGATATCAAAAATGATTATCGAAGCCAATCCATTCATTTCTAGGTAATCATTGGTTAATCCGCATTTTGAACTATCAAAACGACTAAATATAATATATAATGTTATTTTATAATATTATTTAATGTAAAATAAATATTTCTACTAAAATTTCAAAAATTACAAATAAATTTTAACGGGCCCACAGACCCTTAAAATAGCCAAGTCCTTGTACTCGAGGTCCATCAGTCCCCCCTTATGGGAGCCTGGTTATATTTGTAGATAAACAATTTGTTCAATTTTCTATATTGAACTATCAAGTAACTATCACATAATATTTTAGGTCCCTGAAAGTTTAACTCTAAATGAATGACAAATAATAATATAATTTTATTATTAATATAATAATCAATACCCATACTTTTATCTAGGATATAGTAATGATAATCAAGGGGAATTTAAAAAAATTATGTCCTAATTTTTATTAATCTTTATTAGTATAATAACATGTTATTTAAAATATATAGTTAACAATAACAATTTTGTATCTTTCGTAAAAACATAGAAATATAAAATAACAGATACTAAATTTTAATTTAATTTCATATTGAATATGAGAGAACATTATAAAATTTTGAGACATATTATGACATAATATGTAAGATATTAATTTGTATAAATCTTATTCTTTTAACAATTATTGGTTTTGATTTTGATTTTGATTATACTCAACATAAACTTATGTAGCAAAAACTTTAAAAAATTCATGTCAAGATTATTTAATTAATTTTGATTGTTTATTATGTATAAATAAATTTTTTAAGGATATCATAAAGTAAGCAATTACATTATAAGACAACAAGATAAGTTAAATTTATAATTTGTTTTTGTAAGGTTTCAAAAAACACCTGAACCATATTCTGCAGTTAAAATAAATAAAATATTTAATAATTGCTTACAAATTAATACATTTAAATTATGTACAGTAAATTAATGAATAACCATAGTAACAAAACAAATTACTAAATTGAAGAACCTACCTCAATAACATAATTGTTACACCTGGTGCAACCTTTTTATAATCCCCCTTTATTGGGTAGAAGTATAAATTAAAGTTACATTTTCATACATGTTTAATTATTTTATGAAATCTGTTTGTTTTATCAATAAATGTATAGTAATATGAGTAATCTAAAAATTCATAAGGCCATCGAATAATAGTATAGATAAATGCTAATAAATGTTTATCTACCACATTATACAAAATTATACTAATATACTACTTATTAAATTATAATTTAATTAATATTCAATAATAACTTTTAATATTAATTTTGTATTTAATTTTTAAAATGTTAACATATAATTAATAATTATTATACTTGTTTACATGCATATGAAACAGTTAATAGGAACAAAATCAAAGAATCTAAATTATACTTTAATTAATAAGAAAAGAAATTCGAATTGTTAAATCAATTATTTTCTAGACATTTTACTGTAATATTATTTAATTTATTTACTTTTATTTATGTCTTACAATTTAAAAATGGAATTTTATAATAAGAGAAAGTGAAGATAGATAGTGAAAATGTGAAATAATAATAAAATTATATTAGTAGTATAGCTATGTAATAAAAAAACTGAGTATATATAGGTATAAAAATTGTATAAAATATAATTTTTGAATAATGATTTACTAATACTTACTAACCTTTAAAATTCAACAATTTTATTTAAATATGAAAACATTTAGAATACATTTTTTAATTATTTTATAATATTGCATTGTATTTATATAATTACTATTAATAAATAAACTAATTATATTTTGGACAGTTTAGGTCAAGTCATGTAACGCTCATAGATTATATCTTTAAATTAATTTTTTCTATAATATTTGTGGAATCTATACAATAATTATTAACTTATGCTTATTCCTAGCATAGAAAGTTTTCTACCCTTGAATTTCATAATAGAGCTAACAAATTAAAACATAAAGCATTATAAATTAATTTAATTTATGTTTAATTTAATGTACAAAGTTAGTTTTTATTATTAGTTATTACTTATTATAGTAAATTAATCTTACATACTTTATATAAAAGATTTTTTTATTAATTAAATATATTAAATAAAAAAGTTGATAGTTATATTTAATATACGTGTCTCTGAACAAATTAATAACATTTATATTAATATAAAACTAAAGCTATCATTTGGTAGGAAATTATAAGTTGGTAATAAATCAATATCTTTAATTTAGTTAAATTATTTTTTTTAAATAATATCAAAACACAAATCAAATGTAAAATACTTTTACATTGCATAGTTATGTTATGTATCTTTTGTTTATGTAGTTTTACATTTTAAATTATTATTTCTCTTACAAAGATAAATGTTATTAAATGTACCTGTTTTACTATGAGGAAATTCAGCAGATTCTGATTCTGTAGGACTTAAACAATCATCATCTGGTGATGTTTCATCTTCAATTCTTATTGTGGAAGACATAGCCGCTAAAGTAGCAAATGTTGTATCTTCAATATTTAATAAAACATCGCGTAATGATACAGACATATCAACATTTGCTATAAAAATTAAAAAAATAATATATTTTAAACTTAAGATTAATTAAATAATTTCAAACTAATACCAAATTTGTTATCAATGACATTTATTTTATCTTTCATTTCTGTAAATTCTTCTACTGCTAATGCTTCACCGGGTCCATATTCTTCATCACTACATGTTGTATCTTTTTTATCCATTATTTCAGTCTTTTCTTTAATAGATACTTCTCTATAAATATATATATATATATATATATTTATATTTATACATTAATATAAAAAGCCAGCCATATCAATTTATAAATAATTTATTAAAATCATCATATGTACTTGTCATGTTTTTCTTCATAACTGCTTAAGTCTGAATCATCATCAGAGGATGTTATTTGTTTAGAAGACGAGCTCGAAACTTGTCTTTTCAGCATAAAAATGATTAATGATATATATTTATTATAATTACAAAAGTAAAAATAACTTACCTCAAATATTTACTTGTCCTTTCTCTAATCAAAGAACCTTTGGCATTTGAATTTATTGTAAGCCTTGATGGTCTATTAATAGCAATTACTTCAGTAAATTCAACAGAATCACTTAACTTTCGAATAGTCACTCCTTGTTGCATTTGTTTTATTGCTTCATTCTTTAATCTCATATTGGTAGCTGTTTTAGCATTTTTATCTGGATTTTTAGATACTTGATATCTAACTGGTATTTGAGGTCTAGGCAAATGACTAGAGGTAACTTTGGATATAGCAATTTTTGATCCATGAGAAATATGTTTAGGGATTTCTCTCTTTTGAGGTTCAGATTGACTTCTTCTTTCAACTTCAATTTTTTTAGTCGTAACTTTAACAGTTGGTTGCATTAGTTTCATAGATGGTTTACAGAATCCAAATCTAAAGAAAAATAATTATCCATTACTGATAAGTATATTAAGTTGATATTTAATCAACTGCTATGAAACAAACCTGTTAGGAGAAGGTGTATTACTTTTAGGAATACTTCTTGGACATTTTTCCTGTGGTTTGGGTAACATTTTTAATCCATAACTGTCTGACATTTTAACTGGAGCAGATATTGGTCTGATTTTATTGGTTTGGGTTGGCTTTTTGAACCCAAAAGATGATGCCAATCCTTTGGTTACTTGAATTGGTGTTTTTGAATATTGTTTAGCCTGGAAATAAATAATTTTATGTAAGTGATAATTCTTGCATTGCTGTTTTGTTAATAACATTAAATAATAGTAGTTTCATGAGTGTGAAAAAGATTGTGTAATACACTGGAACACCATATGGTCATGAATGTATATAATAGACTTGTGTGTTATTGTAAACATAAGGCCATTCCCTATTCCATAAGAGGAAATTAGATTAGCAAGTCACTGTCACTGACCTCAATTATGTTTTGTCATTTAATAAAGACATAATATTAACTATATATAGATATTTTATTATTTCAATCAATTAAAATATGTATAACTTGGTGAACTTGACAATACTATACTAGAAAAGTCATAATTAAATGCATTGCTATGGTATAATTTAAAATGTAAATATATATTAACTACTATTATACTAATAATGGTTAATATACCTAATCAAAGATATTAGGTGTAATGTTTGATATTCATGTGTCATAAATAAAATTTGTAAAAATTCTTAACAATAAATATGAGTTGATGCTCAATTTGATTCAATGTTTTGCATTTAAAATATATACACGAGTACCTTATTACTAGATAGGTATAGTATTTAAGATATCAATATAATAATAATGTACTTATATAAGTTAAAGTATATTATGAATTATCAAAAGTATTAAAATAACATTATTTAATGCTTTTATCTAGTTTTTAAAAAAAACACTTTTTTACTTTTTAATTTAAAAATTTTAAATAGACAAACAATTATTAATTACAAAGTATTAATTAATTTTCAACAAAAGGCATTTTGAAAGAAAGCTATCATATAAGAAGGTTGATGAGTACATTTGTATTGTATTGTTTAGTTACCGTTAATACTAAAATCTAGCTTTAAAAAAGGAAAAACGGAAAGAGGCTTTTTGTATAAGACAATTGATGACAATTAATTTCGTACAAATCATTAACACTTTTAATAAATGTCTATGTTTAGTAATGTTATACTTTAGTGTAATTAAATAAAAATAGAATACATTTTTCATATTACTTAATGTGAAAATATTAATTAAAAAATATTTATGTAACTAAAATCAAATGGACAAATAAGTTCTTTTCTTGACCTAAAATACACATAAAAAAATTGTATTTTACTGCAGTGATATTATTCCTACAAATTTGTCGGTAATATATATAATAAACACTAATAAGTGATGACTGGGGGAGGCAAGCCCCCTCCCATCAATCTAATTATTGTAGTACATACTTTATAATACGTCATGAACATTTTTCCTGCTCCTTCCCCAAATGTCAAACACTACGTCTATGTATATAATACAATTGTATGAGAACATTTGTAAAATTTGATAATATCATACCATGAAATTTATTTGATAAAATTAAATTAGTAAAGAAAATATATGAAATAATTATGAAACATTTTAAGTAAAAAAAATTATGATTTATCGAATTCACGGTTCGTGTACATAATCAGTAATACTTTTGGTCAAGGTTTACCTAGTAAAAAATACTTATAATAGACAGTTTCGGATCTTGGGAAGTATGTATGCTTGCCCCAGATGCTATTGGTATAAAGACGTTTATAAAAAATAAAAAATATCATGAACATACCCCACACTTTTACCAACGAAATGGCATTTTTATTAGCCCCGGGTGTCAAATTTCTTAGATTACAATAACAGATTAGATTATAATAACAGGTATTCAAATGGAAAAATAAAAAAATTAGAGGACTAAAAATCTGATGTAAAATGTAAATGGTACATAAAAATTATAATCAAAATAGCGTTAAGCAACGTTAAAATTATTATATTAATGCCTACTTCATGAGCGGGGCATTGATGATAAATGCCACCTCCGTTGAAAAAAAAAATTAAATAAGTATATTTAGAAGAACTAAATAATAGAATAAAAAAAAATGTTGACAATTTAATACAATATTGTCACATTATTTTAGGGGAGTATCTAAATTCCTTCCCAAGATACCTATCTTTATATATGTCTATGATCAACTATATTATATAATTTTTCTTATAAAGCGCTCCGACCGTAAATAGATGTTGGATCCCCGCTCTTGGCCTATTCCTAGTACTGAAATGATAAATGTATTTATTGCAACTATTTTAATACCGGATCATGGCATGACAAAGTGAATGTTAAATCACCGACTCTAGTTAACTCACTTCTCTGATCATTGGTACTTAGATAAATGACCATCAGAGTATTTGGAAATTAGACATTTTATGAACCGAAAGTCCTTAGTCAAACATGCAATTTAGCTGTAAAATAACTTCAGATTCTGAAATTTCTTAACAAATAAATAATTTTAATAGCACACATATACAAATAAAATTATGAATAAATCAATCGATTCGACTTAATTATAATAACTATAAACGGTTATTGAGAATTGTAAAAAATGGTCATCGTTTTCAAAAGTAGTTGCATTTTTATTATCAGAAAAAATGCTTTTATTGATAGATAAAGGGGCCAATATAAAAATGTATTCATATATACTATGTACTTTATAAACATACGATACCATATATATGGTACTTCGCTAACTACCAAAAATAAGAATCTATCACAATAAAACCAATACGATTCTTTCAAGAAAAATAAAGGTTTGCTATTTTTAATAGAATAGGTTTATAATAGTTCAACTTAAAATATAAGACACATTTAATCATACCTTTCCACAGAAAATTTGAGATATATCAGTAGAGTATGTACATACTGGTATTATAAAACGATAGAATAATATATAACTAATTAAACCACTTCAGTTTTATCGGAAACAAATTGAGCACATATTAGAACGTTAAATTATTAGAAAAATAAACAGTAGTTAAATAAATTCCGTGTTGCATATAAGCTCGATATAAAGATACAAAACCATTTTTACTTTAAAGCCATTTAAAATTTCTCTATAATTGACAGTCCGTAACAAATATGTACAATATTAATAATAATATTGATTATATAATTTTAAATCACTTTTAATCGTAATATCATCATATTCTAATAATTGAGTTATTTATTAACTCAATTGTAAAAAATTTAAATTAGATATTGGTTTGATTTAAGTTAGGTTTAATTAGAAATATCTTTTAATTTTCATAAGTATTTTTAAATTAAGTTTTCAAAAACAAAAAATCAATAATTCTATTACAAAAAAAAAATATTTATCATAATTACCATCAAAATTAATTCGAGTATTTTATTATAATATCTAATGTTAACAGAATAAATTATTATGAAAAACAATTATTTTCAAATTAGAATAGTTTTCATATTTAAACAGACGATTCCTAATTAATTTTACTAAAATTCTAAAGAAAAAAAATTATGATGTTAAAAAATTGTTGATTAGAAAAATACATCAAAATTAATTATTTCTGTTATAGATAATAATGAACAATTTATCGTATTTTTAATTTTGTATACTTTAATAATTAATTTAAATATCTTGAAAACGTATTAAATAAACATTATTTTGAGAATTTTTTTTTAATATTTTCTTGAAGAATCTTGTTCTAATGCAGATTTGATAAGTATATACTGAAATAAAAGTAATTTAACGTCACTATGTAATATCAATCAAATCATACACAATTTATTTATGACACGTGAAAAGTGTTAATGATAGTTTACATCAAATATTGATTTATTGTTTGATAAATGGCGTATTTAAATGATTAAAAGGAAAAATAACTATTTAACTATCAGATTAACTAACTGGTTCGAACGATATATATATATATATATATATATATATGACTGTAACACACACGTACCATTAATTTGTTAAGTTAATTAAAATTGTAATATGTGTGTACGAATTACATTAATATTAATATAAATGAATATATAAAATATAATATATTAATTATATTAGTATGCGTATGGTAAAAATTTTTTCATTAAATGCAATAATTTAAATTAATGAGTTATTTGGCAATTAATTATGTGTACATTTAAAAATAAAAATAAATGGTTAGCTAATAGATTGAAAATTCATTGCAGTAGGATATTATGAAAGGGGGTTGGCGAGGTGCTACATGCGCGTGCACCTACCGGACATGCTCACTAGATTGGATCAATACAGAATGAACAACCGTGCTGAAGAGGGTAGAAATGATCTCGGAATAAGGATGATGTGTCATCGTTATTTTTATTCTTCCATTTACCTCTAACAAAAGAAAAATAAAGATTCACACTTTTACTAGGAAAACGAAGTACCCGTATAGAATACAATCTGATTAATTGTGTTATTTTAATTACAGTTAGTATACACAAACGTATAAATATATATATACAAATAGCTGATTAGTGATTAGTTTTTAGACATTGGATTAGTTGCAATATTTATTTGGTATGTTGTAGTACCTGCAATTTAACTTATTCTGTGTTATTAACACTGGAAAATATGAAAGTCACCAAGGAAATTTTTTTAGAAAATAATTAACTCTTCTATTTATATATATATATATATTGTTGTTTTCTTCACTTTCTATTGTTTAGTAAATTGACACATGTCTCCAGAACAATAACCTTGAAATGTAATCTGTGAAATGTTAGTTAATAAGATAAGACTGAATAATGAATATCCATAGAATTTCAATGATTCATTAAAAAGGATAATAAAGACCTACTCATTATAATTTATAATATATTATATTAATATGCATTAAATGGGTGTATTGTTTTCGTGTTTTGTATTCATATTTCATAACAATGGTTAACTGAAATAACTACAAAATATTAATTGTCTATAATCATATGATAAAAAATTATTTGAAAGACAAATAAGGAATATAATATGTTAAAGATTTTAATGCAGAAAAGTAATTTTATATATTTATAATAAAAAATATAAGTGAGTATAATTATAGTTTCTTTGCTGAAGAATAAAATGAAAATAAATTAATATTATATATGTATGTGAGTGATTATTGATAAAAATATTAGTTAAATGTAGAATAAATGAAGTAGGTAGTTACCCAAGTATCTAATCTTATATTAATTATAATAACATATTATAACTACCAACATGAAATACGTACATTATTGGATCATCAATAATTTTTTTTTTTTAGTTTTACTAGACATTCGAGTAACATATATAAAATAGATAGTTGATGGATTATTAGAGCGAATAGTAATGAGAAGCGATAAATTGTATACAAAAAATTTTTTATATGTTTATATGTAGTATTGTACAGTGGTGTAACTTAAAAGTTGACGAAATAGGCAGTGGTCGAAGGCGCAGCAAAGGGGCTCATTTTAGTTTAATTCAAATTGGTTTTTTTTTTCTATAAAATAAGTGCCTAAATATAATTCAACAAGAACAAACGAAGGGTAGTAATGGCATTGGTATTGTATATATACTTTCGATAAAAATTTCAATTACGTATATTATGCGATACGTAAAAATCGATCGTATATATACATATATATATAAGCTATGCAAAGTTAAAATCTTACGTCGTTAGACTGTGTAAAGCTCATGATGGGTAAAAACTTTTTTTTGTGGACTGCTTTTGACGCACTTTTGCTCGAATTACATCCCATAAATGTCCGAAGGATCCCTCAAACTAAAGAGAAAACAAAAAAAAAAAAATGTTGAAAGATTATTAAATGGTTATGAAATGAAAAATATCAAATCCAACTTCGGTGACGAAACGATTCGCATACACCACAGTCGGAAAAAGTACAATATATATTCATCATATGGGCGTTGGTACTCACAAGAACAATAACATATAAGGCGTATTTTCAAATGTTTAACAACATTATCGTACTACAGTTTGTTGTACGTGTGTCAATATACGAATTACGAATGTAATTTTCTACGGTTTACACGACACGTTTGATCGAATTCAATTTCGTATACCGATATATTATTAAATAGGTCCTATTACACGAACCCGTGCAATAATTATTCTGTACGTATAGTTCGAGCGCGGTTTCTGTAATTTTATTGTCCGATGACTTTTCGCTTCAAATCCCCGTAATTGTTTATTATCGCGTGAATGTAACTTTGGACGATGCAACAACACCACGTAGCCGTTTATTTCGGTATAGATTTATCGAGGGGAAAAATATAATTACAATAAATATATAACAAGAACTTGACGGCGACAATTCAGAAGAGCGACACACAACAAACTTAACGACAGGGTTACAGTCGACTGCTGCGCCACAAGCTGTGGTTTGCGATAGACGGACCTCTCTTCCTCCTCCTACACCTCCTCCTACATCCTCCAACGCCTCCGTTAATTGGTCGTCGACGAGAGGCGGATCGGTTCGGTAACAAGGCTGTGGTGGAAAGTGGGGAAAGGGTGTGCGCCACGGCATACAGTGCGATCAAATCAAGGCTGCACGATTATTGTTATTGCTGTCGTTGTTATCGTTGCATGTTCGGCACGCTCTGTATGCGACCTTATCTCTTATCATTGTCAGAAATTATTTAATCCATCGTCATTTTAAAACCGTATCGTTTTTGGATTATTAATTTCTTTATTTAATAATTATTATACCTACATATTTTGTTTTTGCTGTGCAAGATTCGCCGAACAACTTAGGTATGTAATAATTTTGTCGTCAAATCCGTAAACATAGTACTAGCACTCACTTGTAAAATAGTAACACATCATCACACTTCATATTAATATCATGAATGATGATTACTATATCAAAAGAGTATACTCTATACTTATATGATGGATACACGGTCTAGAGTTTTAATATTATGTCATTCATACATTATTCTTTATAACTGTTTGTTTAGTAGGTCGTTCCTACTTCTAATACATATTAAAATTAAACATTTTTGTTTTTAAAATATGTTCCAATAGATATTAAGATAGATATTAAGTTATGAAAATATTTTGTTGTTTTCAGAGGGAAAGCATTAATATGGACAAGTTACGGAAGGTATTAAGTAATCAAGAGAATCGAGACAATGATAGTTCTACTGGAATTTTGCCTGTGAGTAAATACTTTATTTAATTTTGTTTTATTTTAATTATTTTAACACTAGTCTTTCTATTAATTGTTTAATATTGTATTTACAGAATTAATATTAATGTATTATTTATTTTTAATTTTTTTCATTAATGGACTTAGGTATACAATAAATGTTCATTTTTTTTCTTTTATTTTATTATAATTTAATATTTTTTTTAAATTTCTCTTCATTTTTATACGAAATGTATTCTAAAATATTATATGGATGACTTGTAAACGTTTATACTGTTTATTATGTATTTTAAGCTATTTAATAATGTTGTAGTATGTAGTAATTAAAATAGCAGCTTCATATTTGGAGGCATTATTTTCAATTTGGAACATTTAAAATATATGTTTGCAGAATGTTAATCAAATGTCTACATTAGAATGGTCTACTCGTATAAAAGGATTTATTGCATGCTTTGTAATTGGAATTTTATTTTCACTAATGGGTGCTACAGCATTAGTTTTGCCTTTAAAAAGGAGAATGGCTGTTTTTGGTATTTTCTATACTCTAGGAAATATTACATCACTTTTAAGGTAAATTAAAAATAATACAAATTTATTTATTATAATCATTTGTATGCATATTAGATATTGATTACTTATACGTTAGTGGCTGAATGCTAAAAATGTATTTTATTACTATACTACTTAAATCTATAAAGTATGAAATAATTGTTGAACTTGGAAAATAGAGAAATTATAGATAAAGAAAAATATATTAATTTTCTGTTTATTTTTATAATCATTTTAAAGATAAACTGCCATTTAAGTAATTATAATTATTATGATTTTTTGGACATCTACATAAATATTTTTGTATGTTTACTTATCATTACAATACAATTATATTTATTATCTTTTGATTTACTTCATAATGATAAAGTTAAAAAAATTAAGTAAAATTTGAACAAGAAATACCTACACAAATATGGTGAGGAAGTAAAAAAATACATTTTTTATTCTAATTATAATTGTAATGCATGAAACATATTGTAGGATTTTTTAAAAATATTTTATTACTTTTTTTTATTGAATAGAAAATTATTTGAATGTTTTAATTAGAGTCTGTATTTGTATGCATTTTATGCATTTATGCATTTGTATCAGTGTATGTAGTTTGATGGGTATAAGAAATGTGGACAATTTGTTTTTTGTTTTGACGAAAAAGTTAATTTTGCATATAAATGTGTACTTTAGGGATGATAGCATATTTAATATAAAAATACATAAAACCAATTATTTTATTTTTTATATCACAGTAGATTACGATTATGATTTATCGAATATACAAGGTGACTAAACTTCTAAATCTATATTTTTTCTAAATTTGTATCACATAAAGCAATGAAAAATAGCTTCCAAAAAACTTTGCTGTTTGCTCAATGACCAATATGAAGCATGCATTACTGACATCAATAGATATGGAAAGATCATTTAGTATTTATAAACATATAATAAATTATAAGACAAATATGACACCTGAACACAGAAAAATAAATTATTATGAATTATTTTTATAAAAAAGTAAAAATCATAAATTGTGATTATTTATCAAAACATTTTTATTAATAACTAAATTTTATAATTTTTTATTAAATTTAAATATTTTTTATGTTTTACAAATATTTACCAAAAAAATTGTAAAAAAGGATTTAATACATTATTATTTTTTTATTATTATTCCTAACTAAAGTATTTATTATATTTGTTGAATATATGTGTTCATATTTACTTTAATTAATATCATAAGTTGATATTTGTACTTGAAATACTAAGTTTATCTAATTGAGGTCCATTAATATTTTTGGAAGAAACATGAATAAAATATATTTAAATGCATTTATTTTGGGTAAGGGTATATTTTTGCATATTATTAAAAAAAAAGCATATCAAGCACATATTTAAAGATTTTTAATGCATAAATGCATACTATTTTTAGCTTTTTTAAGTGCATACAAATCCAGATACTAGTTATAATAAATACATGATCTTTTTTGATCTTTGGTAGGTTATAGCTTTAAATACCACTCACCCTCTAATATTCTTGGTAATCCATATTATATATAATTTTAATTATAACATGTAATGTTAATTAATTTTATTTATACAATTTTTTAGCACATGTTTTCTGATGGGTCCTGTGAAACAAATAAAAAAAATGTTTTCTTCCTCTAGAATTATTGCAACCATAGTTGCTCTTGCCATGATTGTCCTTACATTAGTTGCTGCTATTGGTGTAAGTTGTGATTTAAAATTTAATAAAAATTTAAATTGTTTTATTGTTTTAATAATTTCAGATGAAAAATGCTCCATTAACATTTCTTTGCATAATCTTTCAATTTCTGGCTTTAACATGGTACTCTTTATCATACATACCCTATGCCAGAGAAGCTATTAAATCTTCAATGTCTACTATTATGGCATAATTTTTTATTTAGGTATATATTATAAAAACTATACACAAATTATTGTAACATAATATAATATGTTATTATAAAATATAATAGTAGACCGTATATCATTATTTTGTTATTCTGGTCATATTCTGATATACTTAACTAATATTTAAACTACACCAATTATTCATCGTGTTATCATTAAAGATACACATGTAAACCGTTGTTAATTATATTATTATTATAATTAGTATTGTGTATTTTTTTACTGCAAGCATTTATTGCATGCACAGTATTTTAATTATATATGCTTGGTTTGCTATAACTTTAATATTTACATCTAATTAAAAATATTTACAGTTTTAGTTATAAAGCAATAATTACTAATAAGTTTGAACTATATTGTGAAACTGTCAATTAATTGTCTTCCTGTTGAATCTGATTTTGTTAATGTTTAAGAAATAGTAATATTTTTTATAGCTGATTGATTTAATTTTAATCCAGTAATTTGCATATATACATTTATATAATGTGTTTATATTATTTATAGTATCAAATAAACTTAACTTGTGTCAATTATTTTAATAAAATATGTCAATTATTAATTTAATATAGTTTATAATTATGTTAATTTCCTCGGTAATGTTAACTATAAACATTAAATTGTTTAAATTGTTTATTTTCTTAATGTTAGTTATTATCCAATATAAAATAAAATTTGTATTATTTAGAAGTAAAAAAAATTGATTTATATATTTTTTTTTTTTTTTTTGTATTGCATTTAAGTGTAATTGATATATAAAACTGAAAAATAAAATTTATTTAGAAAATTCCAATTTTTAATTTTTAATTGTATATTTTATGCACATATTTTTTAAAAAATTACTGACTAAATTTTAGTAAAAATCAACGGTGATGAATGATATCAAATCATGAAACCTAAATCAACTTTATTTTTAAGAAAAAAATGTCTTAAAAAAAATAAAATCAATTTTATATTCTATGATAATTAATTTTTAAGTGTAGGTATTCATAATTTATGAAGTAAAATGTGTCTATAATTAAATGATATGGTATACATTTAAATTTTATCAAGTTTTCCGTATTAAATAAATGCTATTCCTACATCTCCTCTTTCAGGTTTTAAATTATTATAACTAAAAATTTATATTTTCCTACATCTAATTGGATTAATTTTAAAATAATTACATTGTGATATTCATAGTAATATTATAAGATAACAATAAAATCATTAAGGCTCAGATGTTAATGAAATTGTATATTTTTTTCTATTGATCCAATTTGATTCATGTACTACTGAATTTACTGAATCAAATAATTCTATCTAAAATCAAATCTAATTTTTATTTTGAATATTTTATAGTTTTATATTTTAAATGCGTGTTTCAGTACATTTTCGAACTTTTTAAAAAAATTTAAACTAATTGGTAGATAAATGATAAATTATTAACTCATATCATTGTTTGCTCCAAATATATTTAGATTCGCATTTGATCAAATTAAAAAATTCATAGTATTACAGTATCTCATCAAACTAGGACGTTATTCGAATGCAATTTCATTCAGTTAATTATTTAGATAACATTTTATTCAAATAAATTATTTTTCTGATGATTTTTTCATAATTATTTTAATAAAAAATTATTTAAATGATTTTCAATCATAGTATATACTTCGAATAATTTTCGATTATTTTATTTGATTAACCCAATGGTTATTGGTCTTGTGGAACATTGCCCGTGTTGGTTTAGCATGAGTTCAGGGTTTTTATTCTTCGGGGCCTCTAAATTCAAAATCTAAAATTAAAAATTGTCTATTTCGTAATTTTTTTGCACTTTTGTGTTCCGAATATTTTTTAATTTTATGTTGTTTTTAAATTTAATTAATTTTAAGCATATATATTTAATTTTTTAATGGGCCTTCAATTGAGATTAGCACCCCGGCCTCTTGAAACTTATATTCAACACTAAACACTGTACCTATGTTACATCTTGTATTTGAGGTGTACTATATAGCAGGAATGTAGTGAGTGGATTCAGGGGGGTTACTGGATACAACTATCCCCCGTTGGAATAAAATTATATGAAAAATAAAGTATATTCGGAAGAATTAAATAATAGATAAAAAATATAAACATTGACAGATTTAATCTTCGACCATATAAACTTAGTTTATATGATCGAAGGATTTAATACAATATTATCACATCATTTTATTTTTTTGCATCAGGTGCGGATACAAGGAAGGGGGGAGTATGGGGGCTAATGCTTCTTCTTGGATGTTACGTAGAACCATATTGGACTTAGGTACTTTAAATATTTAAAAAAAATAGTCGTAAGAAAGACTTCGCATAAATTGAGAAGCACATAAAATTATGGCAGTAACTGAAAGGTGGTCCTTTAGTTACTTTGAGTTACCTACCCGTCTCTGTTATACTATAATATTAAAATGAATATAAATCAATCTAAAAAAATAAAAATAATAGTAAATAATAGGATGTAAATTTGTCATAAGTTGTCTGTTGCATTTGTATCAATCAAATATTCAACAGTTTTAGTAATAAGAATCGCCTACAGTTTTAGTAAAAACAAGTAATTACACTGAATATACATTGACATATTTAATATGTTTATGTGAATATACTATAAAAAGATATAATTAAATTGGATTATCCACATTCGTGGATATTAATCTATATTAACTGGTTTCAACCAATAGATTTTAATGAATTTATCATTGTTTAGTAATCTTGTTTATGGTTTATTTGTTATTATCCTGACAACCGGGAATTTTCTGTACTTAGTGTAAATTATTTTCGCATTTGGCCATTTCCTTAAAAATACAATCGTTTATTACTTATCTTATGTTTTAAATTGTATAACTTTTAGTGATTTTACATAATTGCTATAATAATTTTCCGTTCTGAAATAATCGATCATTATTTTTTTAACACTCGTTGGATACGCTTAAAATTTTTTTAGTAAGTATGTTCTCTGATACTTTTTCTTAATAATCAATACTTATATTTAAAATTTTTTTTTCACTTTTTCACAATTATTCATTATAATTCAAATGCATTTTAATTAAATGCATACTCGTATTTCAAACATGTATTTATAACTGTTGATGGGTTTGAAGTATAATTATAATTTTTATAAAGAAATGTTTAGTTCCACAATAAAATTATTATTTTCAAAATCGTTAATATTTAAATTGTATAACAATTCTTATTTGTACATTTTGTTCGGACAGTTGCACATACTCATAAATTCATTTTAATAACATATTACATCTAGAGGCGTATTTATGTAGGGGCTGCTGTCCAGAGCGTCAAATTATTAATAATTCAGAGGTGTAGTAAATTTCAAAAATTTAAAAGGAATAAGACAAATTTTTATTTCATAGGTTAAAATATTAGACCACGACCAGTGGTTTTCAACCATAGTGAGCATGACCCTGAAATTTAAAATTAAACTATTCTTGACCACAAAAAAATATAGTCTTAATCCCACTAATGTAAATCATAATTTCTAATCAATATCAATAGTTGTCCAATTTTTCTTTGCTATCCAATGTTTAACTCATTTAATGGTTCAAAAATATCACTTAAAAAAGCCAAATTGGCTAGCCACACGTCATCATTTTTCATTGAATGAGTTGTTTTTTTCTGCTGGAAAATATGTATTTCTACACATTAAAATATGACATGAGAAAGAATTTATACCAATGTACATCTGAGTGAAATATATTAACAAACAGCGATCCCATCTTGTTACTTATGGCATGGAAAATTCTTGAATTCATTGTCTTTGATTTTATAAAATTTTGAATAGCATTCTTAACAACTATATTGTTAACTAAATTTCTTGTTTAATTGTTTGTGTTGCCAAATTTTTTCTGTGTGATAAACAATGAACAATTACAGCTTTTGGATTAACTTCCTGAACTTGTTTATAAAATTTAATTAAACTCTCAAACATATCCCAATGCAGTCAGTCTAAATTAAATCATTAAATTTAATATTATATACATATAGAAAGCACTTAACCCAAGCAATCTATAATATCCATAAAACCAAACTTTAATAATTTGTATTTATACAGCTAAGCGTTCTAAGCTTATTTTAAAATTAAAATGTTATATTTAAATCTTTATATAAATATATTAATCTTTAATTGTTTTTTATAAGCAATGAGTTTATGTATACTACCTTAAGGGACCTTAAGGAGTGGTCATGAGTTTGTAATACTCCAGGAAATTATGAACTAAAATAGAAATTATGTTATATATATTAGTCTTTTATTATATGTTCACTGTTATTCCTTTCTTTTGTAACTGTATTTTTAAAATTGTTAAAAGAAATAATAATGAAATTTATTTGGAGGGGAGGGGGTCACAAAATATGTCCTTATCCTGAAATTCCTAAATACACCATTGATTACATCTATGTTTAATTTTTTTAATTAAATGTGACAAGTAATCTCTATGCAATTTTACAAATCTATTTTTAATTGTCTTGCATCTACATTATCGTTTTCTATAATGTTTTCTTATAAATGTATTTATTTCTTTTGTTATGTTTTTTCTCTTATATCATTGAATTTTAAAAAATCATTTTCTTATAACTTGTTAATTTAGGTAAATGATTATAATATACAACACTAATGTTTAATTTGTGTATTAAAACAAACATTTAATCAATATATAACCATAAAAAGAAAAATATTATATATAGGCTCTTGATTATAATCTAATAGGTATACCAATTTCGTTTCTTTTTTTTTTTTTTTTATGAATCAATAATAAGAGTGATTTACACAAACTATTTATTTATTTGTTGGCAATATTTTCTTTTTTAGGTTTTATATTTGAGGACATCATAATGCCTACAAAGAAAATTAGTGTTAATAGCCGTAGTTTTGATGTGTACCAGGACAGAAATAAGTATTATGAGGTAAAAGTTTATTTATGTAAATATATATTATCATTGTTAATGTATCTATATTATTTTTATAATATATTTCATCTTTATTTCAGCTATATTCTTAAATATTTCAATGGTTAAATTATACTACAAGTTTAATTATGCTTTTATGCGGTATTAGCTATTATTTTTTGTCTGTTAGGTGAGGGGGATGTTTTCATAAAATTTACCAACAAAATTCAAAATGTCTTTGAATATGTATATAATAAAATACTACATGCTGCTAAATTTAATATTTTTCGCATTTTCAATAGCACTTGATTCTGTTGTCATAAATCAAATTTTAAATATTAAGTGTAAATTTGTACCCTTTTTTTTAATTTTCGTCAATGCTCGAGTTCATCATAAAATATTTTTTGAAGAAGCATGGTATATATAAGAGTTTATATGGAGTCATCTTAACGGTGATTATTTTATTTATATAACATAAATATATCATTTATTAGGTTTTGTTTTTCTATAAAAAAAAAATATTAGGTTTTGTTTATTTCTTTTTAATTTATGTAGTTAAAATTATTTAAATATTTGTTGTTATTGTGAGTTTAGGTGATATAAATTTTATTTTTATTGTTCACATTAATCTGTAAGTGTGCAATTCTTAAAGTAAATATGTTTAGATAATTTTCTTTATTTATCTTATATTGTTAAATATTTTAGCTCAATATAATTATTTCAGTATTATTTTAATTTTAAATATATAAAATATTGGTTAAATGTATGGGGTTTTCTTGTAGGGCTTACGTCGAAAACGTATTGAGGTAACTGTTGAGCTGCGAAAAACTTTACGAAATGAACAAATGTCAAAACATAGAAATATAGTTTTAAATGATAATGATGAAGATGAAGAAGTAGAATTTAATCCTGATCAAGAAACTACTATTGATACTATCAAAGAGTGTAAGAATTTAAAACTTGAATTGTAATATTACATAATTTTTTTTTTCAGTAATAACATAATTTATGTATTTGTATAATAGTTTTATTTTATTGTTAATGTTAATAATCTGTCATATTTGAAATTTAAGGTTTAATGGGTAATGAATCTCTCTCAAAAAAATTAAACTGCTTAAAGTATGCTCGTAAAATGTTAAGCTCAAGAAAATGTGCTCCAATTGATGACTTTGTTAAAGCTGATATTTTACCAGTGTTGGTTGATTTCTTAACATCAAAATATGATGACAAGTATGATGTTTAATGTCAATTTATTATCAGTTTTTTTAATTTCTAATATTTTGTAGAACCGATTTCCAGTATGAATGTGCATGGATATTGACTAACATAGCATCTGGATCATCAGAAAACACTGTTTCTTTAGTTACTGTAGGTGCAATTCCATTGCTTATTAAATTACTCAAATCTCCTGATATACGTGTAATGGAGCAAGCTGTTTGGGCCTTAGGGAATATTGCTGGTGACGGACCTAAACTAAGGGATATTGTATTAGAAAATGAAATTGTTCCAATTTTAAATAGCTTATTGGAAAAATCAATAGAAGTTAGTGCTCAACAAAATATTGTATGGACACTATCAAATCTTTGCCGTAGTAAAACTCCTCCTCCAAATTTTAGCTATTTACTTCCATGTATTCCATTATTAGTTAATTTGTTGAATCATAGTGATCCACAGGTTATTTGTGAGTGAATATTAAAATGGTAAGAATATTAATTAAGTTAAAATAATATTATCTATTTAATTGTAGCTAATACTTGCTGGGCCTTGTCATACCTGACTGATGGCAGTAATGAAAAAATACAAGTAATTATTGAGGCTGGTACATTGAAAGCGATTCTGAAATATTTGGAAGTTGATGATACTGCTATTCTTATACCTGCACTACGTGTTGTTGGCAATATTGTTTCTGGCAATGATTTACAAGTAAGTTTTTTTTATAAATTTTTATTTAATTGTTTTATTATTATCAAAAAGTAAAATGTATAGACGAATGTATATATATATTTGTCTATATTATATAAATATATATATAGTAGGGTCTCGATAATTCAAACGAAATTGGGGAAAAGGATTGTTTGGATTATTGATTTATTCGAATTATCTATGGCTTAATAAAAACGTCAATTTTATTGTGATGTAAATTATGAAATTAATTTTATCTGTATTAATTATAAAAAAAAAACTTGTAATTTAAAGAGACGATGTATACAAAAATTATTATAATTATATATGTATGTATGTACAGCCAGTTAATATAATATTTATTACATAATATGAACCTTATTATTTAAAATATATATTTACTATTATGATACACATACATATATATTAATATAGCAATGCAATATTTCTCAAGCTCCTTAGGATTACCGCATATTTTGAATTATCGTATATATATGTATATATATTTTAATTTATATTATATAGACAAAGCATGCCTTGGACCATGGTGTACTTAAATACCTCCATAATCTATTAAACCACAAACGTATTCCTGTTGTGAAAGATGCTGCTTGGTTATTGTCTAATGTGATGGCTGGTAGTGTTGAACAAATTCAAGCTACTATTGATAATAATCTATTACCAGTTTTGGCCAGTGCTTTACATCGCGTAAATATACAACTAATAATCTGAATTGTATTTCTTTAGTAATTAGAAAAAAAAAAATACAAATTTCAGGGAGATCTAAAAGTACAGAAAGAAGCAGCTTGGGCAATAAACAATCTTTTTAGTGGTGGCTCAGTTACTCAAAAATCTGCGTTAATTAATCTTGGAATATTGGATCCTTATTGTGGCTTATTATTATCCCAAGATGCTAGAATGGTTGAGATAATATTGGAAGGTCTTAATCAATTGTTGGAAGTAAATTATAATGATAATTTTTTATTTTACTGAGTCTTCTAATGAGAGTATTTTACACAGAAAGCTAGTAATGATGGTACACTAGCTAATATTTGCATGTTAATTGAAGAAGCTAGTGGATTAGATCATTTGGAAGCATTACAAAATCACTCTTCTAATAAAATTTATGAAATGGCATTTAGTATAGTGGAGAAATATTTTCAAGGAGAGGTTTGTTCAAATTTGTATAGAATTATACTTTATTCAAAAAATTATTCATTTTATTATCTTTCATAGGATGAAATTAATCAATTCGATTTTGAATTACCATCAAGCAATATGAGTCATAGTGATTTATTCAGTTTTGACCACTGACTAAAGAAAATATTTTGAAATTTGATTAACTAAAACATTTTTAAAATAATGATTTATATAAAATTAACTAATTTTTTACTATTTATCTTTTTATTTTTATAAATCAAAATCTTACATTCATACAGTTTTTATTTTATATTTTTATTTTACTTTAAATATGTATATTAGATTATGTTATGTTTTTATACTAATAATATATTTTTGTGCATTGAGTTGTTACCTAGTATTGATTTACATTTTATAGTAAAGTTAGTTAAATTAAAATATTTAAAACTACAAATATATATCCCATTTGGGCTAAAGTACACTTAATTTTTATTTTATAATTTTTATTTTTTTAAAATGTTAACATTGTGTTCTTGATCACTAAGTTGCATTCTTAATTTGTTGTAAACTGTTTTTCTTATATTCTTTATATAATTACTAAATATTTTTCAGAAATAATATATAGTCTCGTCTATTAATAACTTGGATCAAACCTGATTTATAAAATTTAATTGTCTCTTCTCGATGTTATTTTGCTTACCACTATTCTTAATTCATGTTATCCATTTCTTGTAGGTAAGTACCTATATATTAAATTAAACGAAATATACTATACAAGAGGGGATATTACTTTTCTTATCACCAAAAATGTTATTAAACTATGTATGAAAAAGTTGGGTGTAATGTATTAAAACTTAAAACTAGGAAAAAACTCTAAAAAAGGATGTTTAATTATATAACTTTAACTAATAATTTGTGCCAATGTTTTTGTACTATTGTTATTAAAATGTTGAAAAAAATTAGTGCCTAATGCAAAATAAATTGCATTTTATTGGTGGATTGAAAAATATTTTCTGGGACAGTTGAAATATCAAACTACTGATCTTAATCACCTTTTATTATAAAGAAAATTCCATATAATATATTTATATTTAGGTATTTTTCAAATATTAAAGTAAAAGCTTAACTAATAGTAAATTATTATTTTTTTTGTGAAGAATGAATGTGTTTATTCTTAATTTTATAGTAAGATAAGTATATTCTCAGGTGTTATTATCAGTGTAATTTTAGTTGTTCTTAATATCTTGATTGACTGAGTATAGTCTTTGTAATGTCATCAGTGGCTTATACAGAAAATATTTTCGGGAGGGTCTAATATGGACAGTGTTAAATTACCCCTGCTATTTAAATATTACTAACAAGACAGGTATTTATAGAATGTCCCAAAATGATTTGATGTTGAATGCAAATTCTAAATAAGCGTAAAGCACCATTAAAATATAACAAATGTTTAAAATAATTTTTAAGTTTTTTAAAACACTTCGGGGGGAAAGGGGGGGTTGCAGCCCCTATGTCATTCCCTAATATAGAAAAAGGTAGTATTTTATTCGCAATGGTATGACATTAATTGTAAAGGCTACCAAATAAGTACTACACCGAAATTTTCAATCGCTATTTTTTCACCATTAGACAATAGTCGAGGACAAGATTTTATTATACTGTTATTAGTGAGGAAGCAATTACAAAGCATGTTCATTAAATTTGACCTACTAAGTTAACAAATGTATTCATAAATTTAGTTAGGTCTACTAATTTACTTGAATACATCCTAATATTTTGAAAATAATTGGAATTTTATTTTTTAGATTTGGTAAATTAGAATGTGTATAGGCGTGCGCGCAGCCCAAACACACTCGTCACCCACCGAAATTATTTAAATGGAGCCTTACAACATAAGTCCAAGAGTAAGGGGTCCATATTTTAACTGATGTTACTCAAATTAAATTTAATGTATTCTAAAATGATAGGTAATTAATAAATTTTGTAGTTATAGAAAAAATCAATTGTTTTTCATTTTCATGCAAAAATTTATTATGATAATATAACAACTACAATTTGTTATAAATATAAAAATCATAAATGAAGTTATCTGAGAATAATACACAAGATTCAAAAAAAATATATTTATTGAGACTAATATATCAAAATATTTTAAAATAATAGTTATGTTTATTTAATTATTTACACATTAAAATTTATTAAATTTACCTATACGTTTTGTTAAGATATGTAGGCCCCAAAAGTATTGAAGGTATCCCCTGAAATACATGTCTGCGCACGCCTATGATATGGAGCCTTTAAAAGTGCTGTGCTAGAAGGAAAACAGTTTAGTGCATTATTCAATATCAGTTGCGTGTTGTGCTGTTATACATTTGTAGTGCCACGGGGGTCAGTATTGTTTGGGGCCCTAATTGTAAAAATTACTTTAAAATCATTATTATAATATTAAAATAAATATATTTCGTGTGATATAAATAATCTTCGTACTATCTGTAAGTAGTAAAAATTATTATTAAATATATTTTAAAAACATTTATTTACATTTTATTGGCATTCAATTTTATTGATTTAAGATATAAATTCGTTATTATTTAAATATTTTTGTACACGCAGATCTTTATTTTAACCCCAAGTTCTAGCCCAATATTACCAGCAGTCAGTGATTAATAATGAATTAAGATAATAGTAAGTAATATAATACATACTAATAATACATGAGGGAAACTATATAATTCCTTGAATGAATAAAAATACAAATTTTATACTTTCCCTTATACTTTAAAAAAAAATCTTTTTCTTAATTGAATCGGTCATTTTGAAAAGGCCATATCTCCATAAAATGAAAATTGTTAGGAGACGTAAAAAACTATTTTTAGAGATCAAAATGTTTAAATTTAGATATAAATTGAAAATGGGTTGAATTATTTAATTCCATTATAAAAAACCAACTATGATATGGCAGTCTCGCAGGAAATATGCATTATTATTAGTTAAACACATCTATCACATAAAACTAGTTTTGAAAATGTATGGAGAAATGGAATTTTCGAAATGACCGATTCAATTCATAAAATTATTGATTTTTAATATATCTTTTTTTTGATTTTTGGCGAGGTTTTAACTAAACCCCCCTATCCCCTCACGGGAATCACCCAAACATCAAATCCATGTGATAACGTTGAAAAGTAAATAAAATTGATAACCGATCATTATTTTCAAATTTGAATTCTTGCAGATTGGTTGGCTAAGTGGCTTGTAAATTATTCATGGGTAGAGGTAGTGGTTTAATGTAGTTTCTTCTATCATATCCATCGAGAAAATGTTTTTAAGTTAATGGAAAGTCGTAGTCGTTCGAATTCAGCTCAATATGAATAATCTACAATTGTCACGGTCGAATTTAAATAGATTTGCTCATTGGGGACCATTCCTGTCAATTGGTAAGTACACTAAAATATTAATTTAAGTGAACATTATTAATTGCTTCATCAAATGTATTTCAGTAATTTACAAATTTATTACACTAACAACATTGTATTTTACGGAATTATGGTGGCCATGTTTTGGATCACTGGGCGGATTTTTAAACAATGCACTTTTTTTAACATTGTTTGTCATAAGTTTTTCATGTTATTTAAAATCTGTCATTGCAGGACCTGGATTTCTCCCACTTAAATGGAAACCGGTATGTACATCTTTAATTATGAATTTTCATTTAAATTATAGTTGACTGTCATCATTCATTCGTTCATACCTATGTAATAGGTCATTTGCAGTCAGACAAGGAAACTTGATTTCCTCTTACTACCCTATACAAGCCGAAGTACTCCAAGGGAGTGTTCTTGCCCTCAATTTATTCAACATATATACATCAGACATTCCCAAAGTAGCTAATATGATTACAGCAACATACGTTGATGATACGGCTATACTTTCCTCTGATAATGACCCCATACTAGTTTCTTTAGCTCTTCAAACCCATCTTGATCAAACAAACACCTGAGCAATCCAGTGGCAAATCAAAATTAACCCGGAAAAACCCTTCCATATAGTATTTACTCTTCATAAAAATGAATCTCCATCATTGAAACTGCAATGACTGGAATCTCCACAACCTCACTGGTAAAATACCTAGGAATTAAACTCGATCAACGTCTAACCTGGGGCCCCTATTTAAAAGTAAAACGCAAAACACTAAATCAATTTTATACAAATCCCTATTAAGGCTTATCTGTACTTAAGGCATGCGAATCTGAGGCTGTGCCAAACCATCCCAAATCCAATTCATTCAATTCTTCCAATCAATCTCACTCTGACTTATTGTCCCAGCCCCTTGTTACATAACTAACAAAGCACTACATAAAAATTTAAAAATAGATACAGTAGACCAACTAGCCAAAAAATTCTATACAAAACTTCATTCAAAACTACAACACCATCAAAATCCACTCATCTCACTTTTATCCTTGCGCACACCACCCAAAAACCCTCATTGCTGTCTGAAAAGACGTTGGTACCATGACCTCCTAAATTAACTTAAATCATGTTTAGAAGGGTTCTATCAATGGATAGCTTCCCTTATCAAGCTATTCTGTTATGTAATAATATTGTATAAATTTCTTATTTACTTATTGTGTTTTTTTTTTCAAATACAGATTGTAAGTATTTTTAATAAAAAAAAAAAAAAAAAAAAAACTGTCAACATAAATAATAGATTTATGTATTATAGAACCTTGAAGAGGACGAACAGTATTTGCAGTTTTGTAGAATATGTGATGGATATAAAGCACCTCGTGTTCATCATTGTCATAAATGTATTGACCTGAATTACTTAAATTATTATTACCAATTGTTATTTTATCAACTAACTAATCAATTATTTATTCAGGTAATCGTTGTGTGTTAAAAATGGATCATCATTGTCCATGGTTGAATACTTGTGTAGGATATTCAAACCATCCATCTTTTGTGATATTCATATTCATTTCCATAATAGCTTCTATTCAATCATCTATATTACTACTCAAGACACTTCTGCTAGTTCTTGCGTAAGTAAGTTATAAATATTTTATTTTTAATAACAAATTTAACTTAATTTACATATTTTATTTACAGCCAGTATGGGCATAGGGTATTAATCTATTTTCCTTTAAAGTTGACTCTTTTGTGGATTACAGCATTTGGGTTAGCTGTATGTTTAATATTAACTCTAAGCTTACTGTTATATATACAAGTAAGAAAAACTATTACATTATAAATAATATTAGTAAAAATGCATGACAATTTAGTATAAATTCATAAAAATAATTGTAGTGTACAAACTTAAAATCAAATATTAAATCAATGTAAATATTTTGTTTAAAATTATTTAAATAAACATTTAATTTTATTGTTTAGTTGAAGTATGTGTTAAAAAATTGCACCAATATTGAAGACTGGATTGTGGGGAAAGCAATATCCAGACGTGAACAAGATCCTAGTTTGCCACCTTTTATTTATCCCTACAATTTAGGTCCGATAAATAATATTAAAACGGTAAACTTCAGTATTTTAAATTGGTAAAAAGTATGACATACAATACAATACAATTATTCAAAGATTACATAATGTGTTACATACTATGTGATTTTATGTATATATAATAATTTGTAATGTAAGTATATCTTGTATTTTTGATATGTTCACTGAGTAAATAATAAATTTAATAAAGAAAAGTAAAAGTGTCCATTATATGTTACAAAATTTCCTACTACAAAAAAATGCACAAACAATATAAATGTATTAAATATTTTATTTTTATTATAATGTTTCAGCAATTTAAATTTTATTGAATTCAAGGTTTTGATTTCTAAATTATTCATGCTTTTACTGTTCATTTTTTTTCAAAAACATGGTTCGTTTACTTTCAATTTTTTTTAACAGACGACAAAGAAGTACAACAGCTAATTTAAAGACTCTTTTCTAAAACAAACTTAAATATTTTCCAACAATAATAATTCAACTTTTTGATAGAAAAGTATGTTTAAATAAGTTATGTTTTAGTATAACAATTTCTCAAATTAATTTCTATTAATTTATTTAGAAATTTAAATTGATAATTCATTTTTTATTACACTTTTTTTAATTTATTTAATAATTTAAAATAATATCACATTTTAATTAATATGAACATTAATTTATGAAAAATTGTGTGATAATAAAATCATTTTAATAATCTCTAATGAGTTAGTCGTAAGTAATGACTAAAAAAAAGTTTTATTTTATACTGCTTATGGCACATTTTTCTTTATAATGGTACGTCATATATTTACCAATATTATTGAATTATTATACTGCCTTAAACGAAAGAAGTAATAATAATCTATTTTTTTAAATAGTTTTTTTCCAAAGGAGATGGTATTCACTGGCCAGTACGGGAAGAATGTGGTGAATATGATTTAACAGTAAGTAAATAATTATTTATACTTACTATTTATTTTTATGTTTGAAAAAGTAACCAGATGAGATGAGTAAACCAATTACTTGGATATCTTTAAATTTAAATTAAATTATGTCATACAATGTTTGATTGAATTTCTGAAAATTACTCTGCTCATTTTAATATATAAATATGATCATTTTTTTTGAATAAAAAATTATTTTAAAATAAAAATAGTGTATTTTATAATCAATTAAATTAAAGAAATATAAGTTTAGTTAGAATGTGATTGAAAAAATATAGTATACATTTTTTTTTTTTTAAAAACTGATTTTATTTAAAAAAATTTAGTGTTCTTTGAACCTGAAGAATTATTTAATTTTACATGCATTGGGTAGTATAAGAAAATGGACTTCTAAAGTTAGTGTACTCTTATTATTTTAATTTATTAGTATAAATTTGTATGAACTTACAAAAAGTTTTATAATTAATTGTAATTACTGAATGCCATTTTTACTAATGGTTTTTGTTAACATTTGGAAATAGTATATTAAATATTTATTAAATAATTAAATTTTAAAGATAGAACAGTTAGAACAAAAACTAATCAAAGAATCATGGAAACAACCAATGAAAGTTATTAAAAATTATAATGGCAGATGGTTTCCATTAGTATTTGGTTTATGTGTTTGTTGTCAAATACCATGGACGGATGAAACTCGAATGCCATTGAATATTGGTGATGTCATTCAAGTTACCCGATTTCGAAAGTAAGATATTTGATCAAAGAATATAAATTTAAAACTTGATTATTAAAAATAAAATATTTTTTCAGGTATTGGATGTATGGACATAAAAATCTTTCCAATGGTACTCGACTACGAGGGTGGTTTCCAAAACAGTGTGTGGAAACACTATCAACCTCTTCTAAGAAAGACAAATAAAATTATTTTAAAACTATTTTTTAAATCTGAATTTTAATAAATTAATTGAAATTATTCAATATCTTTGTAAAAATTATTACTGATACATTTTTAAATTAAGTAATAATTTCTAACATTGGCTTTATTTAATATATTTCTTTGGGAACAAATTTTATATTTAAATTAATACTATTTTAAGCTGATCTATTACTTCATGTTTATTACCTAATATCTAGTTATTTACTTTCAAAAGACCTTACCTTATATAATTAAATTTATAATGATATGAAGAGAAGTTCTATAAGAAGCCATGTTAATAATGCAATGCCATAATACTTTTATGTTTGATTAAACCTAGGTTTATTTAATGTAAATTAAGCTCTTGATATATTCAATAGTCTGTTAATCACTGAATAGTAATCTCTGCATAATTAAAATTTTTATAATTAGTTAAACTTTCACATAAATCTATCAAATTTATCATTTTAAACTTATTATTATTTCAAAAATTAAATACAACAATTATAAATTATGTATTTTAAATTAAAAGTTATATGTTTTAGCTGTTGTAGTATTGACTGTTAAATACTTAAAATTAATTTGTATAGCATCTAAAATTATTAATCCATCAATTTGGACATTTGAATATTTGAGACAAACAACATTTTCCTATTTAAAACTCAAATAATCAACAGTTATTTAATAATCTTTTATAATAAGTATTGATATATATATATATATGTAGTATATAATAATATAATACATAAATATATATATACTATATATTATATACTTTTAAAATATTTTACTGTTACATAATTATAATATAAATTATAATTTTTATCGTTCATATGATTGTTGACATTAATAAAATAAATGTATGAAAGTTGAACTATTTTACTAATTTTTCTGTAACATTATAGAAGAAAATTAATACAATTATTATTATTTATAGTTAATATAATCTTAAGTAAATATTTTAAGTAAATATTTACACTTCATTAACTTAACATATTTACTGGAGGAAAAAGGAGTTGCTTGAGCTTTTTCCTTTTTTCCATATATATATTTTTTAATTTTAATTTTGGTACTATTGTCGTGTATTAAGTACCAACCACAAATCATTTAATCCATAAATATTAAAATGAGCCGGTCCAAACAAAATAGTATACAATATTTTATGTTGAATGTGCAAATTATATATATTAAACTTTTCTGTCACACAGTACTACCTACACACCCCATTTTAGTCATGAGTAGGCTCAGGGACTTTTAGCTTTAAAAAATATCAAAATATGCACCAAAAAATAACCGTATGTGCGCTAATATATGCCTAAAAAAATTGAAGTATAACGAATATGTGGTAAAATTAAATATTTATTTTATTAGAATTTATGTTATAATGAACACTGAACAAGTAATCGAAATTATTTAATAAAATAATATCATTTATTATAAATACTAATATTTATAATCAATGATAATATTTATTATCCGATATCGTCTATCTGACGACTCCAAAAACTGCACGCTTTTGATAAAATACAGGAAAAATCCGTACATTTTTAAATTCTTGTAACCAAAAGCTGCACATTTTATAATGATATATTTTTTTTTTTTTTTTTTATTAAATAAAAAAAATATACAGTTTTACATTAATTGTACATTTGAATTATCTATCTTCTGTAAGCTAGGCTTGTGGCGAAGATAGAGAGTTATAAATTGATACATATTATGCTTAAAAACTAAAAAGGAAAACTAAAACACTATTATTGCGTAATTATACAATACAAAAAGAGATAAATAAAATATAATACAATAAGGTTAACCTAAGTTACATTTAAAGATACATGTAGCCAATCATTAATTAATTTTTTAGCGTTATAATAATTGTAATTAATATTAACATTCTTCTTTATAGAGAAAGGCATAGAATTGTAATATATAGGACCAAGATAATCAACAAATTTTTGACCAACTGATTTTTTACAAAGTGATGTTTTAGCATCAAAAGATCGAAAAGCTCTTTTGTTACTAATTTCATTTTTCTCTACCCATTGATCTAAGTGTTTAACCACCCACGTAATAGCCATTTTTTTGAAAACAAAGTCAACTGGTAATACATTGAACTCTTTAAAATTAAGACCAGTTGAACCAGCATAGTTTGTTTTTTGTAAACATACACGCACTATCTGTCGTTGATGCAGCAGTAAAGGTTTTAGAGCGTTATCCGAGAGCCCTCCCCTGATTAACAGTCCATACTGAAATATTGCTTGATATAGAGCTAAGTATACAGTTCGCATGACATGAACAGATATAATTTTACGTAGCTTATAAAAACTGTAATTTAAACTTCGTAGACGCATGACTATGTTATTCACACGAAGATTCCATCTAAGGTGTTTGTCAAACGTTAAACCTAGATATCGAGTACTAGATACTCTAAATAATTTTTGACAGACTGTGCCATTACACAATGTTCCATTATCACAGAAATGTAACGTAAGTTCATCAAAATTATCTTTAACATCATTTATCGAAAAGTTCATAAACATAGTTTTTTTGAAATTGATAGATAGACTCCTAAATTTTAGAAATTCCACAACAATTTTGGATTCTCGAGTTGCTTTGGTACTAACATCGCTCCAATAGTCACCACAATAGAGTAAGCAGGTGTCATCTGCATATGTAACTATTCTTCCGTCAATGTCCAAATTACACATATGATTTATGTACAAAATAAATAAGAGTGGACCTAACACACTTCCTTGAGGAACACCGCAGTTTATAAATAGATCATCACCTGTAATACTATTAATACGAACAGTTTGCTTTCTGTTTTCCAAGTAGCTTGTGAACCAAATTAAGCTTGTTATAGTGATACCAAAATTAGATAAAATATTTATTAATATTTATTATTATTATATATAATTTATTATTTATACTACATATTTATTCAAAAACTATTGAGGTACAATGTATATAGGTATTGAAAAATTTAAAAAAATATATAAAAATGTTTAAGGCTAAAATTTTTAGCCGGTTTTTTCAAAAAATTAAAATATAAATAAAAATTACCCCCTTTATTACTATCTTCTTCTTTTTCTTATGGTTTATTACGGTCTGTACGATATACTTATCTGGCAATCCATAGTCTGCTGTTTTTGTCTACCAATCTTTTTGTGGTTAAAATCAAATGTGTGCAGTTTTTGGACGCAACTCGCCTATCGGACGGGCGTCGTTCATAACTGCACACTTTTATATCTTAATCCTACATATTTTTGCCAAGTTAAACCGTTCAATACCGCACAAATTTATATATATATTTATGTATTTATTTTAGAGTTATATATTCAATAATCATTGAATTATTTTCCTAGAAAAGTATTTATAGAAAATCATCGTATTTCGATAGCAGCTGTTCCTATTTAATAGTTGTATAATATTTTATTTTAGAAAAAGTTAGCTGTAGTTATAAATTATAAATATATATATTATTTAATCGATAGGGGAAAATATTGTTTTTAATGACAAATGGAAATTTGAAAAATACGATACAAGAATATCAAGAAAGTTTTCTCAATATGAATGTATTTTATTTTTTTATTTTTCGAATTTTTGTACTGAATATTCAAAATATATAAAATATACTCTAAAAAATTGTAAAATTAATAAATATGCTCTAAAATCTAAAAATCATTAAATATGCAAAAATATGTACTATAAACTTTTGATATGTTTTTCGTAGTGTCTTGGAATGAATTTTTAGCTCACTTAGCAATAAATCCAATGGTGCAAAAAAAAACATGCAAATATAATAACTTCCGAGTCCTAGTTATAACTTATAAAGTTATATCATATATGTATCTATAGTTTTTAATTTTAAAATTGAAAAAATTGTCAAAATATGCAAAATAAGCACATTCCTGCAAAATTTATCAAATATGCAAAAATATGCACAATGAAATTTTAGATCTTATATCATAGCACCGAGAAATGAATTTATTTTGCATTCTGCTATTTTTAACCATAATTAACAAAAGTATGCAAATGTTAGAAGTCCTTAAGACTAGTCATAAGTCAGCTGCTTCAATAAAACCCGCATCTCTCCGCCACTGCGTGTATATGTTTGTATACTTCAGACATGCACGTATTGTTAGAGTACTGAAATTAAATTGCGAAAATAAATAGTTAACGAGTCAAATTTTTCTATGTTTTATTACCTACTTGATTTTTTTTTTTTTAATTTGTGTTAGTTTCTTTTGTTTATAGTCGTACAATTGGTATTTAGAATATCGGTGCACAGCCGTATATAAATATATGTATGGAATAAAGTAATTTCACGATCTCGAAACACGCAATTTTTGGGGCATAACACGCACTGCCAAAGAAAAAATAGTATTTTTTGCTTGTTATTTAATTCGAACATACAAATGCGTCTGTTAAAGGTAATAATGTAGTATTCAGTAACGGATAATAAAGTCACATGCAGTGCCCGATTTAAAAGTGTACCTGGGTGACAAGTCATCCGGCCCTAATTTTGAGCGGCCCTCATATTTTTTGGTAGTTTGTAATATTTTTGAATATTAAACTTTGTAATTATTTCAATGCAACGTTAAATATTTCTTTTTATGGAATCATAAAATTTAGAAGAAAGATAAAAGTTGTCATAATATTATATAATATTAAATATTATCTATGATATTGACTTCGTAAATTATAAACGTTTAATAATGTATGGCCTGGTTTTTCAAGTGTATAAATAACTGTCAGTTGAAAAACCGGGCCTATGACATAAAACTATAAATATTTATATTACCAACAATAATTATTAATCAAGTAAAAAACAATAAAACTATTAAAAATAATTTATAGTTTTAGACAAAAATAATTATTATTGTCATCCATTACTGTTTCTTGGTAAAAACCGAGACAATAAATATTAAAATTGTAAACAAATCGATCAGTTGTTTGAGTGTCTATTCTATTTATTGAACTATATGATAACATTCAGTTAAAATGCGATTAATGTTCTATTTATCAGTCATTAACGTTATTTTCATCATAGACAAGAATATTTCTGCAATAACTTTGTGAGTGCTATTTCCATAGATAATAGAAGATAGATAATTCTTCTATTATCTATGGTTTTACAGGTAGAAACATGATATCGAAAGAAAAGTATCGATACTTTCACTTGGTAACGAATGGAATGAAAATAACGAAACGTAACGACCGGTATGAGTATCGAAAAAAAAATATTGACCCTTTTACTTAGTCCTATCATCATAACAAATATAATTAAAATATTGATAACAATAAAATATGAAAACGACCTATATGAATAAGTATCAAATGAAAAATTATTTTTATATTTTAAAGTTTTCTTTCTCCAAGTTAAGAATGTAATCAAAATGTTAGTATATCTTAAAATATGCCATTTTACTAATATTTAATTAAAACTAGTTATGATTCATGAACCACAGATAAAAATGCTGTATGTAAACAAATTTTTAATTGTTTCCGCCAGGTACCTATATCATTATTTGTAATTTATATTTCATCGAATCGGTATATAAATCAGTAAATCTAAACATATTGTATATTTTATGCAATACTTTTTACTATTTCCATGGCTAAAAATGAACTCAGTATACATAATTTATGATAAAAAGGTTTATTATAAACCTATTGACACTATTGTATTGTGGACTGTAGTTTCTGGTTCATGGAAATAACAAATATAGTCGTATAAAGTATAGACTTTAGTATGATAATCGAATTTTATAAACAAATTCTCTACCATGCGCAAAAATAATTTATCTAGAAAAGAATTATTCTTTGATACCATTCGACCATTCGAGTTGATTTTTGAACCATTATGGCGGTTAATAAATGATTTAATGCTATACATTCGATACCAGTATTTTTTTATCGATACAAGTAAAGTATTGATAGATACAAAAAGTACTTGTATCGATACTTTTTTAATATCAGTAGTATCGCAACATCCATAATCACGAGGGCTCTTCTGTAAATTGTTGTCTTTTCGTGAACACTGATAGTATGTTTATGTTGCTGTGATGTTTCAAACACCGTTTTAATTTTTTCATTGTCAATCAATCTTGTTGTCCAACAATATTTCATAGCGGCCCTTCTATAGGTCAGTGACTAAGTGTACCTTTTGGCCAAAAGAAGAGGAACAATGCCGAAACGTTACACATGGTATAGCAGAACTTGCATCTTATTCCTTCTACAACCGATTATTACATTTTTTATTTACTTAAACCACTAAAATGTCAAATCTTCAACATAGTGGCAACTTGAGGTAATTTATGTAAATATTAAACTTTATCTTCCATTCAAAATAAGGAAATTAATATATATATTTTTTTAACTTCCAAGGTAAAAAATTCCATTAAACTATTTTATATTCTCCTTTCATCATATACAACAATTATTGTTCAATAATCTTTTTCAGAAATGCTCCTGCGAAGAGTGTTCTTGATGTGGTGATATAGATATTGGCAAATAGTGGTGTATCAAGTCGACTGAATGATCCAGTAATAGCAGTAATCCAGTAATAGTAATTTCTCATTATAGATTGATATTAATGGTATTAAAGATGACATTAAAGAATTTCCCAGGTCTGAATGTTATAAAAATTTGTAAAAGTAAATATTTCCTTTTAATAAAACTATTAAATAACTTATTACTTTTCATAAAACATTAAATATTCATATAAACATTTAAACTTGATTAATAAAAAGTCAGAAATAAAGCATAAATTTAAATATTTTTTTATATTTCTATAATATTTTAATAAGTTATAAAACAATCATATTTATACCATTGAAAATGAAAAGTGATCTCCGACTCCCGGAGGAAAATTGATTTGTGTGGATCCAAAAATAAATCCAGGTTCTGAAAAAGAAAACATAAAAATAAATGAATAAATATTTGAATATTTTGAAACAAAATAATATTGATTAATTTAAATTGAATAATAATTTAAATTTATGAGCAATATTTATTAATAGTAATAATGATTAGTTAGTTTTAATCAAATGATTTAAAAGTTTTAAGATATTCTATGTATATAAAATGAATTTGATTTTTATACCAT